TGGTCAGTGCCTCGATGCTGGTGATGTTAGCCTGGTCAAGGACACTGGTGTTGATGCGTCTTTCTTCCGAATGGATTCTCAGGATCTTGTGAAGACAGCGTTGGTGGTATTGCTCCAGTGCCTTCGGGTGTCTGCTGTAGACAGCCCATATCTCCGAGGAAGCAGGAACCATCACAGTTCTGTAAACCGTGAACTTGGTGTCGGATCTGATGTTGTTGTCCTCAAAGACCCTCTTCCTCAGGGCCGAAGGCTGCGCTAGCACAATGGAGATGCTGTGGTTCTCTTCATCAACAGCTGCTTTGATGACAGAATACTCCCAAAGTATTGGAAGTGGTCAGCATTCTCCAAGGCCTGCCTGTGGGCCTTGATGATCAGGGGTTTTCTCCATAGTGCCGGGCCAGGTTGGTGGAGGATCCTCATCTTGCCAATGTTCAAGGTGAAACCCATGCTCTCATGTGCCTTTGTAAAGGTGCTGATGATGGTCTGGAATACACCCTCAGAGATTGCACATATGCAAACATCATCATGTACTTCAGCTCGATAACACTGCTGGGGTGACTTTGGTTTTGGTTTGGAGGTGGCGCAAGTTGAATAATTTCTCACTGGTTCTGTAAGTTAGCTTCACTCCAGCAGGGAGTTTGTCGATGGTGAGGTGAAGCTTTGCAGTGAGGTAGATCGAGAACAATGTTGGGTCGATAATGCAGCCCTGCTTGACAACGGTCCGAGCGGGGAATGGTTCGGTGTTGGAGCCATTTGCCATTACCATGAATTCAATGTCGTCGTGGAACAAGCAAATGATGGTGAAAAACCTCATGGTGCAACCAAATTGGAGAAGAATGCTCCATAATACTTCCTGATTGATGGTGTCAAAGGCCTTTGTAAGGTCGAACAAGGCCATGTACAGGGGTAGGTTCTTTTCTCTGCATTTCCCCTGCATCTGTTGAGCTTGAAAATCATGTCCATTGTGTACCTCCGTGGCTGAAAGCCACACTCCTCTTCTGGGAGGAGTTCCTCGGCCACAGGGAGGAGATGGTTGAGGAGGACCTTGGTGATAACTTTTATAGTGGTCGACAGCAGGGAGATTCCCCTGTAATTACTACAGTCAGACTTGTTCCTTTTTTGAAAATGTTCACGACTGTAGCATCTCTGAGCTCTCCAGGATGCTCCCCTCCTTCCAGATAAGGCAGACAAGGATATGTAGCTACAGCAGGAGCTCTTTGTCTCCACGCTTCAATGTCTCAGCAGGGATACCATCTGCTGCAGCAGCCTTGTTGTTCTTAAGCTGGCGGATGGCCTTCTCTGTGTCGTGCAGGCTGGGATGTTGCTGAGCTCACGGCATGTACTGTGCTGAGAGATGCGTTCAAGGACGCTTGGATCGACAACAGAGCCCTTGTTAAGGAGGTCCCTTCTAGCACCCCACTAGTAGCAGCCTGCCATCCTGAAAATGATCAGTTTATTCCTATTCTTTGCTTTTTATCTGTTAGCCAGATTTTGCTAGTGTAGTTCTCCCAGAGTCATACGCTTTAATTTGATTTACTAACCTTCTGTGTTGGTCCGTATCAAAATCTTTTGAAAATTGAAATACACCACATCCATTTGTTTATTTTCATCAAAGCAACAAGCAGCATCCTCAAAGGCACTCCAATAAATTTGTCAAAAATGATTTCCCTTTCAACAATACACATTGACTCTGCCCAATTTCAATATTATTTTTCTAGATATCCTGTTATCTCATCCTATGTAATAAATTCCAACATCTTCCCTACTACTGGTAGCAAACTAAAGATCCACAGTTTTCCACTTCCTTTTTTCTTCCTCCCTTAAATGGTAGGGTTGCGTTTGCCACTTTGCAGGCCAAAGGAACAATTACATAATCTACAGAACTTTGAAAATAACTGCAAATACACCCACTATTTTTCTATCCACGTCTTTCAACGCTCTGGAATGAAACTCATCCGGTCCAGAGGATTTATCAACCTTCAATTTAGTCACCTTTTCAAGTGCTACTGCTTTAATAATACTAATTTCCATTTAATTCCTCAGTTTCACAAGTCCCTTGGTTGCCTGATATTCATGATAAATTTTCTTCTGTAAAGGTAGAAGCAAAGTAACCATTTAGTTTCTTCACCACTTACATGTTTTCTGCTTTAAATTGTCTTGACCCCACCAGTAGTGGACCCTTATTTTCCTAGCTAATCATTTTGTCTTCATGTACTGAAGACTCATGCTCTAGAACTTGCTGCTTCCCTAGCCAAGTTATTCCAGTACTGTTACAACTCAGGCATTGACCTAACAATATGGAAAATTGACCAGGTATGTCCTGTACATGTTATGGACCACACCAAACCCCCTTCAAATATATCGAGGAGATAGCCTAGACCCTAATAGTTATCTTACTTAAAGGCAAGTGTGAGGTGCTATGTTCAAGATTTAATTTGATTGATCATATTACTCGGCTTTAAGCAAAACAAGCTTTATTCTTTCACCCAGTTAAATCACAAACAAAAGAAAGATCAATTAGTATAACTAGCAATTGGAAAACTTAACAGAATAGTGGATTATATACTACTAAACATTAACTGTTCCAACATAATAACATCCCATAAACACACGCTTAGCAAAGACAAATTAAGTAAAATAGATTGTCTCACATGAGATATTTCTCCTGTCTAGGAAAAAAGAACCCTAAGAGAAAATTTGGGCAAAGAGAGAGAACTCCAGCTTTTTGCTGTGGCCGAGAGAGATGTATGACAGCTTCCACAGCCAACTTCAAAATCCCAACAACTGAAAGCTAAATTAAAAGCCTAGTTCAGTGGAAGCCTGACTCCACCCATTCATGGCTGCTTCTATTGTTCTAACTTTTTTGAAAAAGAAACCCAGGGCCTTACCAGCTGTTTACTTTATTCACTGGGTGGCACAGTGGCTCAGTGGTTAGCACCACTGCCTCACAACATCAGGGTCCTGGGTTAGATTCTACTCTTGGGTAACTGTCTGTGTGGAGTTTGCACATTCCCTGTGTCTGTGTGGGTTCCTCTGGGTGTTTTGGTTTCCTCCCACAATCCAAAGATGTGCAGGTTCGGTGGATTGGCCTTGCTAAATTGCCATAGTGTCCAGGGATGTGCAGGCTAGGTGGGTTAGCTATAGAAAATGCAGGGTTTCAGAGATAGGATGGGGGGGTGGGTCTGGGTGGGATGCCCACTGTGACTCAGTGGGCTGAATGGCACACACTGGAGAGATTCTATGAAATTAATCTCTATGAAATTAATCTGTTGAATGAAAGAAAACTTGGAAGAGACAACTTGGCACCTTTGGCTGAAAACCGGTCTTCAAAAAAAGACCAGGACAAAATGCACCTGTTAAAGTCATAGTACCATCATAAATGCAAAAAGCAGGACAAATCCAACCTGACCAATTACTGCCCTATAGGTGAAGTGACAGAAGGTGATTTAGGGCATACTGCCTACATAGCTAGCTTCACGCCAGCACTGAAATTAGGTACCACATGACTCATTTCTTTGATAGGCAGAAGGTCTTTTTGGTTCGACAACAGCATCCTGTTGGTGACAAAGACCATGAGTATTGTTACTGCATAGTGACAGTTTGAAATAATCAGCTTCACTTCTCAGAAACGAATTGAGACCTCATATTCCGCTTGGGAACCCTGCAGCCCAATGGGCTCAATGTGGACTTCACAAGCTTCAAAATCTCCCCACCCCCCGACCTCATCCCAAGACCAGCTCAGCTCGTCCCCGCCTCCTTGACCTGTCCGTCTTATCTCCCACCTATCCGCTCCTCCCACCTCACTGACCAACCCCACCCCCACTTCCTACCTACTAGCCTCATCCCTGCCTCCTTGACCTGTCTGTCTTCCCTCCCACCTACCCGCCCCTCCCTCCCAACTGACCAACCCCCATCCCAACTCCCTACCTACACTCACCTTTACTGGCTCCATCCCCGCCTCCTTGACCTGTCCGTCTTCTCTCCACCTATCTGCTCCTCTATCCACCTTCCATCATTGCCTCCCCCTCTCTCTATTTATTTCAGAGTCCCCTTCCCCTCTTCCATTTCTGAAGAAGGGTCTAGCCCCGAAACATCAGCTTTCCTGCTCCTCTGATGCTGCCTGGCCTGCTGTGTTCACCCAGCTCTACACCTTGTTATCTCAGACTCCAGCACTGGCAGTTCCTACTACCTCTAGGCTGAAAACTAGATGTTTTGTATTAGAAAGGTACTCTGTTTCCTTTCATCTTAATCAGAATAAAAATTTACCAGAGAACATAATGTCGGAAATTAACTGATGTATGTCAGATTATCCCAGAATCTAAATTGCTACATGTAAAACCTTGGCTAGTGTAAAATTGCCTTACTTATTGTGTGCAATGTCTTTTGGGTTTCAAAAATTTGAATGGAATTGACACCAATTTGAAACAATTTGCTTGTTGTTAAATCTTGCAATGCTGTACATTTATCTGAGGTAGACTGAGCAATTTTCAGGACTGGAAATGGCAGTCTTGGGCCCATTTAAGTTTGCATAGTATATAACGAAAAGTGCTCTGGTCAATGTAGCCATGGAGAATGGTTTTGATGTGCCCTGTTTCAGCATCAAGTATGCATGGTGTGCAAATGGCTTGAGTCCTATTTACAAGGCTGTTGGTCAGGCCAGTCTTATACTGCATGGAACTGTTGGCATCCCAGTGATTGTGTTGTTTGATCTGTTGATTTTAGTTTAGCAGTAAAACCTTTAATAGTGAAGTCTTGACCTTTGGTTCTTTCTGTTGCTCACTGGAAAATTGATCTCTTTTTAAATGTTTTGGTCTCTACGGGGTGCATAACAAGGCAAAGAGCAGGGAAGTGGGAATGATTGGGTAACTCTTTGAAAGCACAGGCACGGTGGGCTTGTAAACAACCCTTTGGATTGTATAATTTCATGAACGAACAATGGTTTCTGACTTACGACAAGATAAATTAACTGGCTAAAATGCTTCATTTGCTTTATTTTTTAGGATGCACTATGGTGGGTGAGATGGTAGAAGATTGTAGAGAACAAAATTCTGAAGAGCAGCATGTAAGTGAATTCTTAGAGATGAATTGAGAAATCCAGACTAAAAACTGTATGCTTTATCTTAGAAAGGCACTCTGTTTCCTTTCACCTTAATGAGCACAAAAGTTTACCGAGAAAGCATAATGTAGAAAATTAACTCATGTATGTCACATTACTGAAGAATCCAAATTTCTACAGGTGAAACTTTTGACTAGAGTTAAGTTGCCTTATATATTGAGCACAGGGTGTTTTGCATTTTAAAAATGTCAATGGGAATTGACACCAAATTGAAATAGTGCTTCCAACTAATATCCTCATCTAGTCTTCTCAGGTAATTTGTTCAAAATACGTCTGTGAGAAAATTGAGAGCCTTCAAACAATTCCTAATTAGGGCTGCTATTGTCTTAGAAATAACTGGCATTTGGGACATCAGAGAGCTGGCCCTGATTGTTCCTCACACTGATATCCAATTAATGCATTAGGAAGCAAAAGTTTTACAAGGGTTTATTATGAATTTATTGTTTAGTACAAACACTAGGGCCATATTACTATGCAGAGGCCAACTCCCTAAATGAGGAAGAATCCAGCTCTTTATTTTTAATCAGTCTGTTCAGAGATGTTATGCCACACTTCTCCACAGGTGAGACTTGAATCCAGGCTTTCCTGGCTCGAAGTAGGGCAATAATACTGTGTCACAATACAAAATCCAATGAGCTTACCCTGCTCTCAACCAACACTGGAGTTGTTCTGGTTTATCCCTAACAGGAGCACTGCCAGGTCATAGAGTAATCAGCAACCATTGCGTCGACCGAAGGTTGGCCGAATATATTATTCTTTTGATTGGAGGACAAATGTGTCTGTCACTGTGACATAGCACTGCCAGGTAGAGATTCTGCACATAAAAGGTGACTATCTTTCAGTGAGGATTTAGGGCAGGATTTGGACTTCGTTAGGCCATACCCACTATTTTAAAAACTGAGAGATTTAAAGAAGCCTCGCAGTACAGTGGTTCAGTGGTTGGTGCTGTTGCCAGGGAGCCAGGTTCGATTCCAGCCTCGTTTGCATGTTCTCCCGTGTCTGCATGGGTTTCGCCCACTGCTCCAGCTTCCTCCCACAGTCCAAAGATGTGCAAGTTAGGTGGATTGGCCATGCTGAATTACACATAGTGATCAGGGATGTATAGGTTAGGTGCGTTAGCCATGGAAAATGCAGGGTTACAGGAATAGGGTAGGGGGATCGATCTGGGTGGGATGCTGTTCAGAGGGTTGATGTGGACTTGTTGGGTCGAATGGCCTGTTTCCACACTGTGTCTATTAAAAAAAAATGCTGTTAGCACTCAGTCAGAGTTCCACAGCAACTGTTGCTGCATCAGAGTCTGTGACCATAAATCTTTGGCTGGTCACAACCTAGAGTTTGGGATGCTCTGCTTTATGCAACAATGTAAATAACATATTTGTCAAATACATTTGTATTTCTGTATCCATAATTTATTGGTGTTCCCCTTTCCTTTAGGAAACTAATATACTATCAGGACCAGCACGTGTTACTGGAGGTAAGCCATTTTGTGTTAGTATTATTTTGAATCCTGGTTGTGGCCCTTTGAACGTTGTTCACCTATGATCTCCTCAACCAGTTAGCGCTCTGTGACATAGTAGTTGATAACTTTAGTGCGGGAGAAATATAATATTAGTTTGCTATAACCACGACCCAAAAAAGAGGCAAGAATCATACATTTATATGATGCAGAAGGTGGCCATTTGCCTCAGTATATATGCGCTGACTGTTTGAAATAGATATCCCATTAGTTTTACTAATTTCTTTCTTACATCCCTGAAATTTTTACCCCTTTAGGATAATATCTAATTCCCTTTTGAAAATTAGTATTGAATCTGCTGCTGGCATCCTTTCAGGTACTGCATGCCAGATCATCATAACTAGCAGATAATTTTATTAACCAATTGCCATAAATTTGTGTCCCCTGGTTATTGATCATCCGTCTACCATTGGGAATAATTTTGCCTAAATTATGTCTTTAGGATAGGATATAGGAAAATAGGAGATTTGATCAAAATCATGAGGGGCCTGAACAGAGAATATGGGGAGGAATTGTTCCCATGAGAGCAAGGATTGAGAACTAGAGGAATTTAAGGTAATTGACATGACAATTTTTTTTAATGCACTAACCTGGAGAGAAAATTTGATGGTCATAGGGAACTTGAATCTAGGTTATTAAGATACATAATAAAAGGAAGTAGTCCTAACACTGACCCCTGAGTACACCACTCATATCTCCCTCTGATCTGAAAAACAACTATTCACCACTACCCTTTCTGCTCTTTACCCGATTTCGTAACTCATCAGCCAGTGCACTTTTAACCCATGGGCTTCTATTTTACAAATTGACCTGTTATGAGATACTCTGAAAGTATTGCACTCAACGTCACATGCACTCCCCTTCTCAACCCTATCCGTTATTTCGTCAAAGAACTCACTCAAAGTAATGAAACACCATTTTCCTTTAACAGATTTGTGCTGACGATTGTTTACTAACATGTATTTTTACTGGTACCAATTTACTTGCCATAAATTAATAATCAAAAATTTTTCCTCTTCCACCGTTCTCCTGAGCAGCAAGTTCTGGATTATTACCACTGTAGTGTTCTTCCTACTATTTCCCCTTCATCTCTTGTCCAAGATTTTAAATCTGTGTACCCTAGTGCTTGTACCAGCAGTTAATGGAAATAATTTTTCTTTGACCACCTTATCTAAGTCTTAATTGGTCTCAGCCGTCCTTTGACAATCCTTTTACTACTGGTGAAAGACTTTTGAATTTCCCTTAAAGTTACCCACTAGTTTACTCTTCCATTCTTACTTCCTTATTCAGTTCTGCCTGTATTTTTTGTATTCAGTTTGATGCTGTACTAAATTATAAACTTGGCATTTGGTATAAGTGTGTTAGGTTTTGTGCTTCAATTTAATCTTTGCATCTTTAATCATCCTAAAGGTCCCTAGTTTTGTGGGAGAGTTTCTAGTCTGTCTTTAACGAGTTGCTCTTTGAAGATTTAACATTTCAACTGTTTCAGTTTTATCTGCCACTCATTGATTTCAATCCCCCTAGGTGTATTGTTGGGTTGAAAATGCCTAATGAGTTCTTTAAGGTCTGATCAAAATGATTACAAGAAGACATGTGCTTTGATATAAAGCAACATTATTAGCTTAATCAAATTTAGATATATGCACACTAATGAGTGCATCTATTAGCTTAAACTACTTTAGACTTACTCAACAAGTGAATCTCACTGCCTTCTGCCCACTGCGGACTCCCGGGTGATAGCTGGCACTTGGAGCTGTACCTCAGTTTCCGCAGCACTGGTCCTTGAACCTCAGTCCGATGGTGAAAGATCCCTGGCCCCGGTCTCACAAACCCAGTCCAATGGTTAAAGGTCCTCTCAAGCGGAGAAAAGTCGCACATATTATGACTATTCTGAATCTGATTTTAAGTGCTGTATTGCCATTCTGAGTACTTTTCCCAACAATTCCTTTGTGATAAACAGTTGCAGGTATCACTGCAAAACAGCCTGCTCCCAAACAAGGCAAGGTCATTGCAGTTGCCTTCCAACCAAAGCAGGCTTTCACACTAAGCTTGTTTTTCATGCATTTTCCACCAATTGTTTATTATCATGTCCATTTAACCCTTAACAATATGGTTTGGAGATATTTTTAAGTCTAACGCTATGCTGCAGCCCTGGATGTCTTCAAAATAGATGAACAGAAGACCTTACATAAGGATGCATGTGTTGTTCAAATAATTCACCCCCTGACTCCCGAAAGCCTGTTCATCATCTACAAGGCACAAGTCAGGAATGTAATGGAATATTGCCCACTTGTCTGGAGGTGAAAATTCCAACAACACTTGAGAATCTTGATTGGCACCACAGCCACAAGCATCCACTCTTTCCACGGCTGATGTTCAGTCGCAGCAGTGTGTACTATTTACAAGATGCATTGCAAAAATTCACCAAAGATGCTCAGACAGCACCTTTAGTGCATTTTCACTATGCATTCCTGCAAGTTAGTTACTTCAGATGTAACTAGCACCTGTGCACACTGACATCAGTATCCCAACATCATGCCACACATTCTTAACTTTCAGGCAATCTTTTTGAAAGATCAAAGTTGGTGGAGGATGCCTACGTATGCTCCTCACCTGGTCCCAATGTTCCAGATAGTGACGAAATCATCCAATTCAGTTCCATCTTAAAAACCACATTGGCAAAGGCTCACATATCTCCAAGAGAAAACTCTTATTGAATTTTACCTACACTTGGATCTCATTGGATATATTCCATTTAACTATACCTAAATGAGTCATACCCATGTCTGTTTAATGCTCTGTCAGTTTTTCACTGTTAATATTGTTTTATTCTTAGTGACACCCCCATTAATTACCAATATAACTGAGTCAGGAACTCTGTAGAAACTTTACTGTCCAGTTTAAAAACAAAAAGAAGCATGTTTTCATAATAGCTTTAAAAGAGACAAATAAATATGATTACTATGTGGTTTCAAGCATGACCAAATTTTGCTTATTTGGTCTTTCTTACAAAAAAAACAGTTTTCTCAAATGTAACTTGCTAGATGGTACTCCACTTTTCTTCTTTCAAAATTATTCCAACTCAAAATAGAAAAGTAGATTCAAAGATTTCTATCGTGTACAGCGCCTGCAGTGTTATTGGGCTGACAGATTTCAATAGAGGTCAATTTATTTCATCCTAACAATTTATCCTGTTTTTTCCTGATACAAATTACACCTAGACTGTTACCATTGGCTCCCATTTTAAATTAAACTTTAAAGATTTAAATTTACTTTGCCTTTAAAATTCAATTGAATTTCTCATTGCATGCCTGAATTAGAAACTTATATCAGATAATTTTATCAATCCTGACTTCAGAAACAATTACATCTAGGTTTGGTGGTTTTAAACAGTACTGTTGGATTGAGATTCCAATGTTTGTAATCAGTTTGGGGTTCTCCTGATTTCAAAGACTTTGTCTTCACTAGAATTCCAGCTCCCTCACTGTGTTCTTGAAACCTGTTCAAAAACAAAATAAATGGCTCCAGAAGAAGCCCTATAAATTAATAATATTCAAACAACACATCTCACCCACTGAACGTGTGAGAAGTTTTAAAACTGTCAGCAGAATGAGTTAACTCTGCTGGTTTGAGAAGGGATGGTGCCCACATCGCCAGCTGACTTCATGTGCACTATTCAAAAAAAAACTGTCCTGATAATTTCAAACTGGAATTTTAAATTTCTCTGTGGTCATTTTAAAAAAAAACTTTCCTAGTTCGTTCTTTAAGACCACTTTCAAAAAGAAACAATAAGTGGACACAGAAAAACAACATTCCTCATTTCAAATTCGGAGTTCAAATTTGATGGCTTCCAAAAAGGTTTGTCTATGTTTTGAGAAACCATTTTTTCTTACTATGTTTCGTACAGCAGTTTTAAAAGAAAACACTTGTTAAACTTTTTGTTGAAATAAGGTTTTGAAAGTCTTGCACCTATGATCACAGAATCATAGAATCTCTACAGTGTGAAAGCAGGCCTTCAGGCGCATTGAGTCCACACTCGCCCTTCGAACTGCATCTCACCCAGACCCATTCCCCTACCTGTCCCTATCACTCTACATTTCCCATGGCTAATCCACTAACCTGGTCACTGGACAATTTAGCATGGCCAGTCCACCCAACCTGCACATGTTTGGACTGTTGGAGGAGACTGGAGCACCCAGAGGAAGCCCATGCAGACACAAGAAAAATGTGCAAACTCCACACAGACAATTGCCCGAGGGTGAGATTGAACCCAGGTGACTGACACTTTGAGGCGCCACCGTGCTGCCACTACTTATGGACACTTATGTACACGATGCTTATGGACTATTCCTCATTTTATTACTGATTTCAGTTGAATGTAAGGGATGCTTTCTGTGTAACCATCATGGAAACGCTCTGTGAATACAGTCTAATTTTCATAGAGGTCTTCTTTAACTTCAGTGGGGGAAAGGGACTTTTTGATCTCTTCCCGAATTGTGCCTAAGTGTTCTACTTCTTTATCCACCACTTCCAGGTCATGGGTAACATTATACTTTTACTTTGTTTCGCTACACAGGGATAGAAACGTGAGCGAAGCACTGTGAGATATATTCTCAAGGTTACCTGCCCTGTTTTGCAAGATAACAGTCCCAGCTGCTACCTGTTCACAGATTTCTGACTGGCGTGTTTTGATTTGTACTATGTCAGGGGAGGAGTCCGTTTCATCATCAGTTTCAATATCGATACCCAGTTGGTTCAGTCACGCTGAGGGTATACCCGCAGCCTTTTCCACCTATTACACATAATGGGTACAGTGGTTTCATGTTGGTAATCATTTTTACCCTGCAGCTGTTTTACCAATTCCTGCACCTCTTTATTTTCGTTATCCAACTGTAAAGCACATAAATGAGCATAGTAGGCTAACTTATTCCAGACTGTTTCTAACTCAGTTGTTCCTTTCATGACCTTTTTCAAAAGCCTGTCAAGAACACACTCATGATTATTATGGCATAATACTACAATTTCTAGTACAGCCCCTGCTGCTGATGATCCTAACTTTTCTATTAAGCTATCTATCACTCATGTTTTCAAATATGCCAGTGACATGATAATTTCAATGAAAGTCTGCTGCTTCTCGCAGCATCTCAAACTTAAAGCCAATTAAATCATTACTCCTGTGATACGTTAGTTAATTAGATAAAGACAGTATACAACTGTGACAATTAGAATGGTTCACTGATACTAGAGGACAAATAGGCTGTCAGTACAGAATGTTTCGGTCATGTTAAAATGGTGGGGGCAGCATCCTGCTCTCTAGCCAAGGTGTTAGGGAACCGTACTCTCAGTCTTGTCCCCATCCTTTTTCCTTCTTAAGCATTTTGCTCATATCCTACTCGTGTTTGTTAGGCTGAAAGTGCCTAACAGGTTCTTTGAGGTCTGATCAAAATGAATACAGAAGACACATGCGCTTTGATATAAAGTAAATTTATTAGCTTAATCTAATTTAAGCATATACAAACTAATGAGTGAATCTATTAGCATAAGCTACTTTGAATATATTCAACAATCTCACTGCCTTCTGCCCATCACTGACTCCTGGGTGATGGCTGGCACTTGGAGCTCTATCTTGATTTCCATAGCAACAGTCCACAAACCCCAGTCCGATGGCGAAAAGTCACCCCAAGCTGTGAAAAGTCGCCAATATTAATACTACTACTACTGTTTGGAGTAATTATTTTTAAACATAAGACTACACTAGTCTGGAACCCTTCTCAACTCACTGAAATCAGCTCTCTTCCAAGCTGAATATTTATTTTTCTATCTTTTCCAATACTTTTTCATAACTACTCAAAACCCACTATTGTTTCAAATGCACCCTCACTGAAGGATGCTTCTCTTCTCCCCTGCTTAATTTAACAGAATTAGAACTGTTATTACTTCCTTACTGTTACTTCCTTCTCATTATACTGGAATATTTTCTGGTCAGCAAAGAGAGGCATTCCTCCTCACTTCTTTGCCTTTTACTTTGTCAGTTTCATAGCCTATGTTAAGATAATTAACATCTTCCATTTATCAGTCCTCTGAAGTTTGTGTGTGACAACAGTGAAGTGAAAATTGGAATTTAAAAATTAACCTGTTCAGTGACTTGAGTTTAATGTTTTGCCTGTGATATTTTCTGTCCCAGTAGGAGAGAGATTTTTTAGCTTACATTTGTTTTGCAATTTTAAGCAAGCCATGGCTTTTCACAGGAGCATTATATACAAAAAAAGTGACATACAGCAATAACAATGAGATGTTAGGACAAGTGATCAAAAGCTTGGTTAGAGGGTTAGATTTTGATGACAAGTTTAAAAGACAAAAGTGAAGTGGAGAGTAATATCTCACTGTTTGTTCCAAAATGGCATTCTACAAAGAGCCAGAGTTGTGATTTACAACCTAGTTCTGGTGATATGCATGATATCACAAAGGTATGTAATTAACCACAGAAATCTTGTAGAAATGAAGTGATTGGCCAACATTCTTTTGGAGAAAGAATTATTGTACAAATCAAAATAAATCAATAAAGTATGGTGAAAGTGTGTGGGCAATTTGAGATGAGTAAATAATTAAATCCAATGAATCTACATTACTCATGTATATACCAATAGGCATTTTGTATTGAAGAAATTAGGAGGACCTGAGGTTTTAGCACTGGTATGCTGTAAATTATATGTAGGTGTCGTGATTGCAAATAATTTAACATCATCTGTATTAGAGAGACTTTGGACGTTTCACATTATGCATGTATGGCATATTAATTTGTGAATACAGTGTGTAATACACTTGTTGAGTTCAAGAATTTATAGGAATGTTTTCAGTTTTTAGATGTAAAATGAACTAATCTTCTGGTTTGCTGATGAATTGGATTTTTGAGATTTTTAAAATTAATTTTTTACAGTATAAAGAAATATGAGTGCTATGTGTACATTTTCTGTAGCTAAAGTATGTAAACATGCTCTTCTATTCTCCTGTAGAAAAGGGAACCACAGCAGAGGGTTCAGGAAAAGCTCATAGTTCGGTTCCTGTGGAGACTCCCTCTGAAGACCTCCAGCTATTGGCGCAATACATGATCATCACAGACACCTACCAGGATGAGGATCATTCCTTAGCTGAGCTGCAAGTGGAGGATATGATTACACTGGATATGGACAATGATGTGCAGCTGAATGCACCCAAGATGGACTCTGCACAACTCATGATGGAAAGCGCAGGCATCAAAAAAATGTCTGTGACTGGAAACGCACGTGCGATAGGAGAATTGAGCTTTGAGAGTACAGAGAAAGAACATTATCCAGGAACTGAGCAGAACAATGGCAAAACCGTAAAAGATGAAGGTTTTGGCAAAGCCAACAAGAAGGATCGTTTGATTGTAGTTGGCTGTGAACCAAATAAGAGGTTTGCTTCTTTGAAATGGCGGGCCTTTTCGTGCTGTTTTAAAGTTCTTAATTTATTTCCTATTAGGTTAGAGGCTGCATCATTTTTTATTTATTTATTCTCCTCTAAACCATATGCTATGAAGCATTTTGCTAGAAAGAATGAGGAGAAGCAAAATAAAGTAAATGGTATAATTGTCGAAGTGGTAAGGGAGCTTGCAGTTTTTGAAGGTGTCAAGACAAGTTGATAAGGTGTCAAAACAACATACAAATTCCTGACTTTATAAATAAATAAATATAATACTAAAGCAAGGAAGATACACCATACCTTTGTAAGTCAGTGGTTGGGTCTCATCTCGGACATAGTGTTCATTTCTTCTGGGCATTAGACTTTAGATGATTTTCAAGGCTGTGGTGAGTTACAGATGTGGGTTACTAGAATTATGTCAGGGTGAAGGATTTCTCATCGTGATGAGAGTAGAAAACTGGAATTGTTCTACAACTATTAAGAGGAGCTTGCGTAGACGTGCTCAAAGTTACGAGCGGTAGAACAAATGAGGAAACTTCCTTTTGGCTAGAAATTCAGGCAGAAAATGCAGGTTTTAGGGATTTAGCAAAATACTGAGATTAGAGGGTTTCTTTTAATATGTTATGATCTGAAATTCACTGCAAAAGCAAAAAAAAAGTTCAAAAATGAATTGAATGAATTATTTGAATAGATGTGTCAGACTATGGGGTTAAAGGAAAGGAGTCGAACTACTTGAGTAGGCCTTATAAAAAGAGCTGACCCAGGCACAGTTGACCAAATGTCCTCTTCCTATGCTAGATGTTTTCTTATATTGTTTATAGCTGGTAAATGAGATGTTTTTGAAATATTTTAAAGTAATCATTGACAGTAATACATAACTTTTTTTTAACAGGAGGTTTGGAGAATTTGTTTTAAGGCCTAAATAAAAATATTGGCGGTTAAATCTAATATTTTGTGAAATCGTTTATAAGCTTTATAATTACTGAAAACCGATTTTGTATTTTCAGCTCAATTAGGGATGGCAAGCATGTTAATAATGAAGTTAATCCATTGAAAGGTAAGCATAGATTATTCTCACACAGTTGGTAATTGGAAGTTTGTCTTGAATGATGCTTTTAAAAGCAATTTTCTCATTCAGTCGCTGATGTTTGCATTGCTGGTTTGACCAGCATTAATTGCCTGTCCCTAATCGACCAGAGTATAGTTAAGAGTCATCCACATTGCTGAGGGTCTGGAGTCCCATGTAGGCCAGACCAGGTAAGGATGGTGGTTTCCTCCTTGAAGGAAATAGTGAACCAGATGGGATTTTCTGACAATCGATAACCGTTTTGTGGTCATCGTTAACTTCTTAGTTCCAGATTTTCATTGAAATCATGGCAGGATTTGAACCCGGTTCCAAAACATTACCTAGGTCTCTGGGTTAATAATCCAGTGATAATACGATGAGGCCATCATCTCTTCAATTACTTGTGTATATTCTCTTTGTGTAAAATACTTACAACCAAAATTCAAAGCACAGTGGAATGTAAAAATTGACAACTTACTGTCTATAGTCATCTAACTGCACCTAATTGTGTAGATGTTACAGCCAGGACACATTCAGAAAGACTTTATGTTTATATAGGTTTTGAACATTGCTAGCAGCTAAATGTTATGAGTAAGATTTTTAAATACATTTGAAGTTCTTTAATTAGTGTTTTACTGAAATGTGTAAGAGTTCAGAATTTTGTTCCATTTTTAGGAAAATAAACTGTCATATTTACCACTGTGTAAGCTGCTGTTTCTTCTGTAAGTGCACTGTCGTATCATAACTTTTGAATCTTGGTGATTGTAGGAGGCAACAGGACTCTAATCATGTTGTATTTGATGTTCATGATACTTAAACTTAAAGACCCTATTGGACCTCTTTTGTTTGGCTACATGTGTTTCAAGTGGATGAAAAATTAAGAAAAGAACAGCTATCTTGCATTAAATCTTGCTTTCTGCTGGCTAAATTGATCCTATATGCAAAGTAGTCAGCAGTCCTTGAGTATTACTGAAACTAAGTTAAGCTTGGTGGGCCAGGTCTGGTATTAATCAGTATTTATTAGCTTAGCTGAAAGTTTGATATCTGTTAGTGGCGTTTTGACAAGGTATTTGAGGTGGGAAGGATGGGAAGTACAGAGAAGGATTGAGCTTCAATAACCCAGTCTTACTGTTCTTAAGGAGGCAATTCCAAAGATTAATGACCCTCCGAGAGAAGAAATTCTTCCTCATCTCTGCCTGAAATGGGAGACCCTATTTTGAAACTACTCCCTAATTCAGCAGTCCCCTGCAAGGGGAAAATTCCTTTCAGCATCTACCCTGTCAGGTGCCTTCAGAATCATTTTGTTTTAAACTGTCTCCTAAGCTCCATTGAATCCAGGTTGAACCTCTTCAACTTTTCCTTACAATGTAGCCAGTTCTTTGCTCCCAGGACTCAACCTAGTGAATCTTCTTTGAACCAGCCCCTCTTTGGGTAATGTGACCAAAATTGTACATAGAATTCTAGATGTGTAACAAGTCTTCTCAACTTTTATATTCGCTCCCTGTTCCATTTCCCTTATTGATTATTTGCTGTGTCCTACAGGCTGATGTTGTGATTCATATGCAGTAACATTCTGCTGTCTCTCTCCATTAAAATGATACTGTGCTTTTCCATTCCTCCTACCAAAGTGGGCATGCTCACATTTTCCCACATATTCTGTTTGTTAATTTTTCCCCACTCACTTTATCTATATCCCATTGCAGACATTTTGTATGCTCCTTATATCTTGCTTTCTTACCTATCTTTGTATCGCCAGCAAATTTGGCTGCTCTGTTTCCTCTAAGTTAATATATTACCTCAAACTTTTGAAATTTAAATATATTATATCTACAGGTTCCCCTTTATCCACCTTGTTTGTTAGATCCTTAAAGATCTATAATGAACTTGTAATGGCTAATTCATGTTTTTTGAAGTGTCCTGCTACTACCTCTTATTAATGAATTTTGCCATTTTCCCTATGAGAACTAACTGGCCTATAATTTCTTGCTTTCTATCTCACTCCTTTCTCAAAGAGGTTTACATGGTGGTTCTCCAATCTGTTGTGATCTTTCCAGAATTTAGAGCATTTTGGAAGCTTACAACCAATGTATCTCTATCTCTGCAGCCACTTCTTTAAAGGTCCTACAATGCAGTTCATCAGATCTCCGGGATTTGTCAGCTTCAAGTCTATTAGTATGCTCCTTACTTTCATTTTCCAGCAGCCATGACTGTTCTAAGTTCTTCCCTTCCTTTCACCTTTGGATTTTCAAGTATTTATGGCATATCTTTTGTCTGTGTTGATGGGTGCAAAATATTGTTCAAAGCCTCTGCCATGTTGTTTCCCGTTACTAATTCTCCAGGTTCACCTACTAAGGAACTAGTCCCTACTTTAGCTACTGTTTTGCTTTGCATGTCCTGTGGTAGCTTTTACTGTCTATATGTTTCTTGTTTGTTTTCACTGGAAATGGAAATTTCTACCTTTATAGTTTTAAAGTCATTTCCGGCTGGATTTTGAAACCTTTCTCAATCTTCTGCCCTACCACTAGTCTTCGCAGCATCACTGTTCCCTTTTTCTTACAATTTGATACCCCCCTCAACTTCTTCTTTAGCCATGGATGATCCATTCAAGTGGTTATAGTCTTTCTTACTCAGTGGAATATGTCCTTGTTGAGAGTTATATCTCCCTAATTGTCTGCCATTGCAACTCAATCATGTTATGTTTTAGTCTATCTTTTCACTCCACTTTAGCCAATTTTGTCTTCATACCCTTGTAGTTGTCTTTAGCTCAGAGTGATACAGGTATAGAAGTTAGGTTAATTGAGCGGTTTAGAGAGGTGCTTTTCTTGGGAAGGTATGTGATGACGGTTTGCACCTTTTGAATCAACTCCAGAATTCCTGAACTAAGTTGAGATTTTTGCTGCTGTTTGTATTGTGTCCATTTACTCCTCTAAGGGAACACTTGATTCTTTTCATGCATTTTTTTCTTGAGAGGCCAAATAGCTGCTGCTACTCCTACATATTAAGTTCTTGACAGTCTGCTAGAAAGTAACCTCTAAATGATGAGTTGCCACAGGTTGCTCAGACTGTTCCTTTTCCAGTTAATATTGAAGTAAGATATGTTAAATATTGAAGGGTATTGAAGAATATTGAAGAAGCCAAAGTGAAGTCATTAGGAGTAACAAGATAGTAAATGAGGGTAACAACAAAAATTAATTTTGTTGCAATGTTTAAAACTGCTAGGTCATCAATAATGAAACAGAACAATGAAAATATACGTACTTTATTGCTGTAATCCCCTTCAGTCTGTGGTCCCCAGAGTCCCTTTTCTATTTATTGACTGATTTTAAATTTGAAAATTTGTTTGTATATCACTTATATTATCATTTATATCACATGCATGTCATTTAGGACTCTCTGACAGCCATAGGACTTCAGATGCCATGGACAAAAACCAGGTGGTGAGTAAACTGTGTTCTACAATGCAAGTAACTTATGTAAAGAAGCTCATTGATAAAAATGACAAGCAGAGAACTATATGAGAGGTACAAACTATCAACCTGTGGTTGTTCGTTTGCTCACCGAGCCAATTGTTCCATGGTGTGCAGATGTTTCATTACCATTCTAAGCAACATCATCAGAGCGACCTCTAATCAAAGCATTGGTGATCTGCTCCATTCCTAATTTACATGATCCTCTGGTGTGGCGGGTCTTGTCAATTCCGGTTCTGTTTCTCAGCAGCAGTCGGTATATGGGGTGTATTTCTATGTGTTTGTAAATGGAGTCCCTTGTTGTGAACCAAGGGAATTTTTGGAGGCCTGGTTTTCAACATGGAACTCCATTAACAAACACGTAGAAATAGACCCCATAGACAGACCGCTGCTGAAAAACAGAACTGAAATTGACAAGACCCACCGCACCAGAGAATGATGTAAATTAAGAACGGAGCGGAACACCATTGCTTTGATTAGAGGTCGCACTGATGATGTTGCCTAGAATGGTAACGAAATATCTACACACCATGGAACAACCACATCCACAACCCGAGCTACAAATTTTCACTAAGACTTTTTAAAAAACTATCAACCTTTTGACTTTTAATTATCAGAGTACACCTGGGGACAAGAGAGAGGGATGGTGTGTCCCATTACCCACAGGAATATGTATGTAAAGATAAGTCTGTGGGTTTGGTTGAATATGTACCATTATGTGTTACATGCTAAATCTGAAATGCAACTCTGAACCATTATCAGGCTCAAATTGGCTAATAAGACTGGTTGTCTGATTGTAGTTTCACTTCCTATTTGCCATATATCACCTTTAACATCAGCAATAATTGTAGGATTTCAAACCAAGGCATTGCCATTAAGTAAACAAACAACTTTTGGTTTCCCTAGTTCTCTTGGCCAAGCAGAGTCAATTTGCCAACGAACCTTCGACCCTTTTCTCCTGCAGTAGGAATTGCTGTGATTTTTCTGAAATTTGGCCTGTGTTTATCCCGATGAGTGCAAGGTGGAAATCTTCAATAACATATCTCTCTCATCAGCAATACTCTCATTCTGTATTATCAAGTGACTATTTCTATTAATTGAATCTGGTTTCACATAAATCTTTTGCATCTTTTGCCTTTAATTTTTGTCATCCAGTGTATGTTAACTCTATGTTTCAAAGAAATAAGCCTTATTTGTACCGAAATGAGCTTTATCCTATATGCCCCCCATTGTGGTGTGACTTTTTAAAAATAAAGTTTGGTTGCGAGAATATTGTGGCAAGTTGCTCTGTGTTGGTACAATAAAACAAAGAACTGCGGCTACTGAAGTTCTGAAACAAAAACAGATATTTCTAGAGAAACTCAGCAGGTCTGGCAGCATCGGTGGAGAGAAAACAGAGTTAACTTTCAAGTCTAGTGACACCACTTCAGATCCTGGAACAAAGCTTTTATTTCTGCAATACTGCATTGATAATAGAGGACATATGTCAGCTTGTAGAACATAGTGGTCTTGGTGGTATTTATTGTCATCTTTTGTTCTTGTTTGTTAGAAATTGTGTTTGTTTGGAGTAAGGTAGTAACTGACAGAGCAGCCATTACGTGAGGTCTCATACTATACAGGAAATACCAGAAAAAGTCCATGTTAAAACAATTGCAATTGAAGAGAAGACAGTTGTGACAGAGGATTTTGTAGTTACGTTATAGCTATAGTAGCCAAAGATGTAAGCCCAGGATTGTTTTAGATTCTTTGGTGTCATAGTCAAATATATCAGTGAGTGGCTGCACAGCATTTGGAAAGGAGACAGTCACGATCAATATCAATACTATAAATATTAGTAGTAACAGGGATGAAGTCCTGCAGACAGATTTTAATGATTAAGGAAGGAGATTAGCATGCAGGGTATCAAAGGTAGTAATTTCTGGATTACTCCTAGTGTCTTGTGCTAGTGAGTATAGAAAAGACGATTAAGGCAAACAAATACATGACTGGAGAGATGGTGGCAAAGGAGGGAGTGCTTTAGAATACTGAGGCATTGGGACTGGTTCTGGAGAGTTGGGACCGATGAATGCCAGATGAGTTGTACCTGAACACAACTGGGACCAAATTATCAGCCCAGTATCTTTATCCTATATGCCCTCCATTGTGGTGTGATTTTTTAAAAATAAAGTTTGGCTGAGAGAATATTGTGGCAAGTTGCTCTATGTTGGTACAATAAAACAAAGAACTGTGGCTACTGAAGTTGTGAAACAAAAACCGGTATTTCTGGAGAAACTCAGCAGGTCTGGCAGCATCAGTGGAGAGGAAGCAGAGTTAACTTTCAAGTTTAGTGACACTTCTTCAGACCCTGGAACAAAGCTACCATCTGCACTCTTTTCTGCTTTTATCTTTCTTGCTGTCATCAACTAAGGTGTTCCAATTTGCTGGCACTACCATTCCCTTTTATAATTATCCCAATAATTGGTTTACAAGAGTTGCCCATTATCGCTACTCTGTATTTCTTGCATCTCTCCAACCACCCTGAAAATTTGTTCCTCTATTTGGTAACCTGTAGAATACACTCAGTAATGACTACTTCTTTTTTCAAACTTTCACCAAATATATTTTGTCCTTCACCTCTCCAGAAAACTGCAATATACTTCCAAAGGAATACTGCCATACATTCTTTCTTTCCTTCTTACATCTAAGAATATCTTGCACCCAGTCCTAGCCTTTTTTGAGCCACATCTCAGTCATTACACTATACCATATTTTGCACCTTCAGCAGAGCAATCTTCCTTATTCCGCTTTCTACATTCTGACACGTGCATTGTAAACACAATCTGGACTTTATTGCATTCCTTCTTACTCTGACCCAGCTAATACCTTAATATTTCTTAACCTATGCCTGATCTGACTTGTCTCACCTAATCCATTGTGCACCTTGCCTCTCTTATCTAACATTGTATTTTGATTTCTATCTCCCATGTTATCAAACATACCTAGTTGCCCTTGAGAAGGTGATGGTGAGATGCCATTTTGAACTGCTGCAGTCCGTATGCTAAAGATCAACCTATAATCTCGTTAGGGATTTCCAGCATTTTGACCCAGTGAAACTAAAGGAATGGTGATATATGTTCAAGTCAGGACAGTGAATGTTTTGGAGGGACAGTTGCTGGTTGCGGTGTTCCCATGTATCTGCTGCTCTTGTTTCTTGTAGAGGGTAGTGGTCATGGGTTCGAAAAGTGTTATCAAAGGATCTTTGGTGAATTTCAGCTGTGCATTTTGCAGATGGTATATTGTGTCAGTGGTGGAAGGAGTGCATTTGTTGTCAGTCAAACGAGCCGCTTTGTCCTGGGTGGTGTCAAGTTTCTTTAGTATTGTTGGGGCTGCATTCATCCAGGCAAATGGGGAGTATTCCATCAGACTCCTGACTTGAGCCTGTAGATGGTGGAGAGGCTTTGGGGAGTCAAGAGGTGAATTGTTTGCTGCAGTATTCTGAGCCTCTGACCTGCAGTTATAGTCAGTGTTTATGTAACAAACCCAGTTAAGTTTCTAGTCAGTGGTAACTGCTAGAATGTTGATAATGGAGGATTCAGTGCTGGTAACAGCACTGAACGTCAAGGGGCAGTGGTTAGATTGTGTCTCTGTCTTTTTTTTTGAAGATGGTCATTGCCTGGAATTTATGTGGCGTGAATGTTACTTCCCACTTGTCAGCCTAAGCCTTGATAATGTCCTAGTCTTGTTGCATTTGGACATGGTCTATGACTGTTTCAGTATTTGCATACAGGTAGTCCTGCTACAACACGTGTTTCATTAACACAAATTGGCTGTAACATGATTAATGAATAGTGGACATTGTTTGGATAACGCAAACTTTCTGCTATTCAGGTATAACGATTTTCTGTAGTGATTTCCCTGTAACGTGATTTTCTATAGTGTGAGGTCACATAAGAAAGTAATAATTGCATTATAGGAGAACTACCTGTATGAGGGGCATAAAGGGGCAGTAGAGTCACAGTCACAGAAATCTATAGCACAGAAAAAGGCTCTTCGGCCCATCAAATCTGCACCAGTCAAAAACAACCACCTAACTATCTTAAACCCATTTTCCAGCACTTTGCCCACGGCCTTGTACACCTTGGCATCGCAAGTGCACATTTAAATACTACTTAAATGTTATGAAGGTTTCTGCCTGTTCCACACTCACAGGCAGAAAGTTCCAGATTACAACCACCCTCTGGGTGAAAAAGTTTTTCCTCACATCTTCTCTAAACCTTCTGCCCTTTCCATTAAGTCTGTGCCATCTAGTCAATGATCCTACATCAAGGGGAAAAGTCTCTTCCCATTTACCGTATCTATGCCCCTCATAATTTTATACATCTCAATCGTGGTCGCTCTCAATCCTCTCTGCTGTAAGGAAAGCAACCCCAGTCTGTCCAATCTCTTTTTTATAATTGAAATTCTCCAACCCAGGCAACAGCCTGGTAAATTTCCTCTCCAGTGCAATCACATTCCTCCTACAATGAGGATTCCAGAACTGCACACAAAAGTCTACCTATGGTCTAACTCAATGCTTTGGCTAATAAAGGCATGTAAATCATATGCCTTCTTAACCACTTTATCACACCTGTCGCGATACCTTAAGGGAATGGTGTACATGCACACCAAGGTCACTCTGATCTCGGTGCTTCCCAGGGTCCTACCATTTATCATGCTTTCCCTAGACTTATTTTTCTTTAGGAGGAAGCTGATTAGGCAGCAAAAGTATAATCTATATAAGGAGGCAGAGACCATTACTGATGGATAAAGTGATTACTTTGTATCTGTTTTGACCCCAAGGAAGTTGAAGGTAGAGAAATCATGGCAAAAGAGGAGGTCAGGAAGACAGTTGACCTCTATTTTGCAGAGGTTAAGCGCGAGCGTATGGATAACTCCTATCTTCCCTGAACCATGTAACCTCATCTCATATGTGGATCTCTTCTCCACCACCACCACCCAGTCCCACCCCTTCTTTAAATACCACCCTTTCCTAGCTGCTTCTAGCTCTGAATTAGGGTCACTGGACTCAAAACGTTAATTCTACTTTCTCTACACAGATGCTGAAATACCTGCTGTGTTTCTCAAGCATTTTCTGTTTCAGTTTGGTTAAGACGATTGGGCACAAAATTGATGAAGGAGAAGTGTTAGAATGGCTGAATATACTTTAAGTTAATCAGACACCAGCACTGGATTGAATGCATCAAAGGATTCTGAAAGAATCACTGATCGTAATCTTCGAATCAATAGCAAAATAAGGGAAAGCTTTTTTATGCAGCAAGTGATTAGGATGTGCATTGTACTACTTGTATGTGATGAAGGTAGATTCAATCATGGCTTTCAAAGGGGAACTCTTAAGAACTTGGAGGAAGAAAATTTGCAGGGTTTCAAAAGTGCTCTGAATTGATTCTGCTCTTTCTGAGAACTAGCACAGACACAATAGCCTCCTGTAATGTAACCACACTGTGATTCTAGACACAAGTCTGTCAGGGTCTAATGGGATGGCAAAACAAGATACTAAATGCCTAATTCCTATGTTCTTGTGTTCCTCAGTTAGGTTTTGCTTTAGATGTTAGAGTATCAAATACATAACAAACACTTACAGAGACCGTGTTTGACTGGGGTAGTGAGAGCAGAAGGATTGATAAAGTTGAGATAATACTTTCAGCAAAGTTCAAGATAAAATTGCAAAAGAGAAGTAGATTGAAATAAATACTTCAGGGAACAGGTGATTAACACAGTTAGAGGAAAAGTACACATGAGATTTAATTACTACATTCAACCACTGGAAGCTTTCTGCTTCCAGTATTTTCCATGACAGCAGTTTGTCTTTTTTTCCATTTCTGGTTTCTCACCACCAATTATGAACTTGATGGGACCACATTTTAATTTTCGATTAGAGGCCAGAAGGTTGATAACTGAATGTAAGCACTAGCAAATCCATCTCTCACCTGTACTGTACCTGCAAATTCTCCATAATTTAGTGTTTTGCAGGACTTCACTATTGTTCAAAATACAGCAAGATAGCTGTTTTCTATATTATGAGAATAAATAATCATATTCTTGAGTGTTATTGACAGATGCTGTGTAGGTCCTGCTTGGCATCTTAACTGGATTAGTGTGTTCCACGTGCTGTCGACAATGTGGAGCAAAGAGGGATTTGTTGTTCTGCTTGTTGATGGTTCTTGATTGTGAGGATTTTTAAAAAATTCTTTCATGGAATATCACTGGCAAGGCCAACATTTATTGCCCATCCTTAATTGCCTTGAACTGATTAGTTTGTTAGGCCATATCAGAAGACAGTTAAGAGTCAAAAACATTGCTGTAGGTTTGGAATCCAACATAGGCCAGATCAGATAAAGACAGTGGATTTCCTTTCCTAAAGGACACTAGTGAACCAGTTAGTTTTTCATAATAGTCACTGTCAGTTGTCATCATTGAGACTAACTTTATGTCCCAAGAGTTGCTGTAATTTTATTTGAACCCGCAGTCCTAGCACATTAGCCTGGATTGATAGACTAGTTTAGCAGACTAAGTGACATTACCACTAAATTACCATCTCTACTGCGGGGAATGATGCATTCACTACAGTTCAATGATCACTATGTATGGTCCAATAAAATGTGTTTTTTTTTAGGATCTGCAGGCTGAAAGTGAGCTGAAAGATAACAAAAGGTCTGCAGAGGAGAAAGTTAGAAGTTTGACAGGTTCCAAACCAAGTTGCGAATCCAAAGTTGACAATGACCGTGGACAATCTAGAGACAGGTAAGCAATACTGCTCTGAGTTAGATATTTCATTGGTTTTGCTCACGCAATATTAATGTTTCAGATTTTCTAAAATTCTCATTTATTGATCTTTTATTCTCTATATGTATTGGTATAGGCCAATTCTTCATCTGTGCTTCTAGGTATTTTGTTATCTAGCTTTGAGAGTATAATTTGATCTTATTTCATATTTATCTTCACAACAGCATCACATGCTGAAACAGTTCATTTGTCCAATATTAACAGCAGTGTTATTCTATTAAAATAATGACCACAGTTCAAAACTTGTTTGCAATGTGCTTTGGAGCATTTTTTTTAGGGTGTTACATTAGTAGAGTCTTTGTGTGTAAACAGAACATGACTGTGTCATGACTGATTTCAGAGTTATGGTTATGTTTGTAATTTTGTATTTGGATACATTTGGTCCTAAAGCCTCCACCTCTGTCATTTTTATTGAACTGCAGAACAATCCTGTCAGTCACAATAGGATTGAGAATCTACATTTAATCAATGTGTTTTAGAAATGAGCAGCAATCAATATTTTCTTCCTGCTAGATGTACCCTCCATGTTATATCCTTTGGTATATAGCAGTCACCCCTGTGATAAATTAGTTTTCAGAACATAGCAAGATTAGGCCACTCAGCCTCTTGAGACTGATCTCCGACCTCCCGTTTTCCCATGCAATTTTCATATCAATTGATGCCATTAATATCTAGAAATATCTGTCTTAATGTACTCTATTACTTTTTAACATGCTTTTGGGCTACTTATTGCATTATAACGTGACAGGGAATTAAGTTTAGTTGGTGAACCTCTTAAAATTGGTGACATGATAATATGCTTTCCCAAATGAGTATTTCTACAAGGTAATCACTTGATATGGAAAATATGTTTTTTCTAAAACCTCTGTTTTACCCTTAAAAAAAACTCTTGTTTCAACTTGAGTTCTGAAGAAGAGTTATGTCAAACTGGAAATGTTAACTCTGTTTCTATCTCCACAGATGCTGAGTTATGTTTGTTTAAATTTCAGTTTTCCAATGTCCACAGTATTTTGATTTTACCTTTTCTTTCATTGTCTTGTTGTTCCAATACAGCAAGTTTTTTTTAGCTTGATTCCAATTATAGTTATTCCTTTCCTTTTTCACACTGCTATTCACAGCAGTTTTTCTCATCCTTCTTCCTAAATTTTGCAAGTTTTTTTCTTTTTAAATTTATACCTATTCATATTACTGTAAATCTGTTTTAGGATTATATTTCTTTAATCAGTGCTTACTAAATTCGTAATCTGTATTTGCCCTGCTTGTTGGATTGTGTTTGAATGCCATTAGTTAAGCTTTTCCAAAGTATTGTGAGTCATTATGCTTTACGTATGCATTTCCTGTTTAATGCATTGAAATTGGCCTTTTCATTTGCATATGTGAGTATTAATGTCTTAGTATTTTGTTAACCCAGAATATGTTTTAGTCTCTGGCATGCTTAGTTTTATTCCCAGTTTGCTTGCTGACATTCTAATGTTGAAATACAAGTTGAAATGGTTGACTGAGTGGAGGTGTTCTGCAAAGCAATCACCCAGTCTGTGTTTGGTCACCCCAATGGAAAGGAGACTTACAGTGAATACAGTAGACCGAGTTGAAAGAGGTACAATTTTCTACTTCATCAGTGGAAGAAGTCTAATGTTAGCTAACATTCTAGACCAACCACGAACTGCCAAGATCTTAGATTTCCTGTGAAGTTTCCCATGATGCTGCATATTTCAGGGTGCAGACCTTCATTATTTCTACATAGAATAACCTGCACTCTCTCCTTTCGACCCAATGGAAACCAATGAAATTCTATTTGGAATGCATAGTTAGTAAACTGTATTGTGTGTCAGCTATGACTCAGTTGGAAACAAGACACTCTCATACAGTACTCGGGGAGTATTGAACTATCCGAGGTGTTGTTTCTCAGATGAGATGTTAAACCAAGGCCCATCTTTCTGCTTGGATGGATATAAAAGATACCAAGGTATTACTTTGAAGATGAAAAGACGGCTTAGCCCTATTGTCTTGGTCCTTGATATCACAAAAGTATTGATTACCTGGGTCATTATTACATTGCTTCTTGTGGAACTCTGCTGAGTGCAAATTAGCTGTCAGATTTCTTACATTACAACAATGACTACACTTTCATTGACTGTGTAATACTGTAATGCTTAAGATTATCGAGGTGAGCACTATATACATGCAATTCTTTCCTTCCTTTTCTCGTTGAAAACATCATCACTTTGCTTATTCCTGCCATAAATCTCTAATCTGCTTTTTTCCTGTATAATTTGTCCTTGCTGAGAACTTTAAAAGTTTTATCGGAGGTGAAGTTGTTTTGAGATCTTCAGTTAACACAGTTGCTAATTGCCGCAAAGCAATTGCTTCTAGGGCTCATGGATATGCTGTTTTTGGGTATAACTTATTGTTACAGCATTCATTTCCTTTGATCTCTTAATTTCCATTTTGATATTTTTTGTTTTTTTCCTGTTCTGTGACAGTTTTAATCCCAATCTATATACCACCATTTTTTTTGGTGAAGCACACTTTGTAAACAAAAACTTCTTCTGCCTCAGAATCTTCACATTGATTGGTCAGTGTTCCTGACTGGTCCAGCACATGGTATCCAGAGTCAATCCTGAGTTTATGATCTTCTGAGTCCTGAGAGGAACAACTAGAAGATCTGAATTGCTTCTGACTTCAAAGCACCATAAACCAGTCTCTCCAACTTTGCCTTTCCTGCGTCTTTGACATCACTTGCCTCTTCTGTGTTATGCAATCCAAGACATTTTATTCAGTACTCTTTTACTGGCACTCCTACTACCTGGCTAATACTGAAACTTGGGTTGAATAACAGCTTGATACTGATAGCCACAGTGGGTTTTGGCCACTGCATAATATTTGTTCGTGTATCTGACATTGATGGATAATTGAATCTTCAACCTATCAAGACAGTATTAGCTGTTGATACGCATCCACATCATGAACTAAATAAACATGTTGACGCTGTTTTAATCTACCTACCTTCTATCCTGTCTCCCTCATTACTTCCACTCCTGTCCTTCCTGCTGATCTATCTTTACCCTCTCTCTGTGTGTCATCATTTATACCCAACTACCCACCTCTTTTTCTGGAATGACAGGTGCCATTTTGCTTCTTAGGAATGTAACCCTGTACTTCTGTGTGTTACGTGGTGCAATGTCACTAAACAAGTGGTTGATAGGGGGTCAACAAAATAAGTGACCTGTCTTAAGAAGCTCATTGCTTCCATTTTTTTTCTTATTTTCCCTAACAAAATTAACTAAGATCCTAATAACGTGTCAAACTTATTGTATTTTGACTTCGCTTCAGGCCATCTGTTCATGGGAAAAGCAATAACCAAACTAACAATCAAGGAAGTTCGAGGAAGCAGGACAATGATGATGATAGAAAGGACAGACACAGAGAGAAGGATGATCACAAACACAGATCTTCACATTCAAGTAAGGGTGATTAAGAGAAGCGGAGAAGTGAGAATGGTGGCTGAGCAACGTATTGAATTAGTACATTATCACGTGGCCTTGCTTTGAAACACATACTAGTTGGAAAGGAAATCTGTCTGCTAGCTGCAAAGTTCTTAAGTATAATGTCGAGAAATATTTATCAACACTAAACTGAACATGCATTAGCACTTAATTTGGAGTATAATTCAGAAAAGGTGCAATTATGGCATTGTAGAGCAGCTGTTTAGGTAATGGTACCCACAGTGGGACAGGAAGGGACAGAATCTATGAATATCTTTTAAGAAACAGTCGCAAATAGTTTAAAGAGGGTCAAAATGGCAAAAAGGCAAAATTAATGCCTCTACTTCAATGCACATAATATTCAGAACAACATAAATGAATTAATGGCACAAATCAAGATTAATAGCTATGGAAATATAGCCATTACAGAGACATGGTTAAAAGGAGATCAAAACTGGGAAGTAAATATTCACGGGGACTTTTTAATTCACTCATGGGACATGGACATCACTGGCTGGAATTGTATTTATTGCACTGTCTCCATTTGCCCCTTGAGAACGTGGTGATGAGCTGCCTTCTTGAACCGCTGCGGTCCTTGTGCTGCAGGTTGACCCATAATGCCCTTTGGAAGGGAATTCCAGGATTTTGTCCCCATGATGCTCAAGGAACAGTGATATAATTCAAGTCAGGTTGTTGCGTGGTTTGGATTAGGATTTGCAGGTGGTGGCGTTCCATTTATCTGCTGCCCTTGTCTTTCTAAATGGTAGTGGTCACGGGTTTTTCTTTTCATTATTCATTAATGGTATGAGGGCATCTCTGGCTAGGCCAGCATTTATTGCCCATCCCTAATTGCCCAGAGGGCACTTAAGACACTGCTGTGGATCTGGAGTCACATGTAGGCCAGACCGGGTAAGGATGGCAGTTTCCCTCCCTAAAGGACATTAGTGAACCAGATGGGTTTTTCCAACAATCGACAATGGATTCATGGTCATCATTAGATTCTTAGTTCCAGATATTTTTATTGAATTCAAATTCCACTATCTGTCGTGGTGGGATTTGAACTCCGGTCCCCAGAACATTATCTATCTGGGTCTCTGGATTAACAATCCAGTGGTAATACCACTAGGCCATCACCTCCCCTCATTTGTGGTGGGTTTGGAAGGTGATGTCTAAGGATCTTTGGAGAATTTCTGCAGTGCATCTTGTAAATGGTACCTGCTGCTACTGAGCATCAGTGGTGGAGGGAGTGGATGTTTCTGGAAGTAATGCCAATCAAGTGGACTGCTTTGTCCTGGATGGTGTCAAGCTTCTTGAGTGTTGGAACTGCACTCATCCAGACACCTGTTGAGGCTGGGTCATTTTAGAATGTTCAAAGCTGAGAAAGACAAATTTTTAATCAGTCAGGGATTATGTATGAGTAAAGGCAAGAAAGCGGAATTGATCCATGATCTAATTGAATGGTGGAGCAATAGCCTGAATAGCCTACTTCTGCTCCTACGTCTTATGGCCTTATCGTCAATGATATTTTATACTGCTTTGTGGGAAATTTGAAAGGGAAACTGCATGGTGCTGACTTCAAGGCTCCTGGAATTTATTCAGATTTGTAAAATTATGAAAGACTTGTGAAATAAACTACTCTGGGTATGAACAAAGAGGTGTTAGAATGGTGAAATTCACATTAGATCAAATTAAGAGGTGAAATAAAAAAAAGGAAAGTTTTATTAAGGAAGGAAGAAATGAGAGTCTACAACAAAACACAAGAGGGCAATAAACATTGCTTAGAATGTCTTATGATCAAACCTCCAGCCTAAAAATCCCTAACTATCCTCCAGGAACTTCAGCGTTGCCATCAGCAGGACGATGAGGGAAGGAGTCCAGGACAGGAATCCACAATTAATTGACTCCCACCAATCTGGCTAACATTAGACAGGCATTGTGACCTTGCAGCACCACCTCACCCATGCAGGTAGCCAGAATAACAGCTTCTAGGATCAGGATGTCCCCTCCTTGTTGGAAGAGAACCTCAGGATTACAATGAACCATGAAAGTTAGCAAATAAAATGGACCGAAATCACATCCTACAGGCAGGACTTCAGAATTCAACATGATCCCAGTTAAGTATGAATGAATGAAGGAATATTGCAGGAGATGTAGCCACATCTTGAACATTTGGTTCATTTGACTTGCTGCACACAGTGTTTTTTAGTAGAAAACACCTGCAAATAAAGGACATCAAGAGCCACAGTGACTAATGTACATGTCCACTGTAATTTTTCCAGTCTTTATAACTGCAGAGCTCAGTGTAACTGACAGCGTTCTTTCTGTTTCTGTGATCTAAAGTCTATCATTTGTTGAATCAAATTGTATACATTGGAATATCACTTACTTGTATCAAAAAAAAAGCAGCAGTTTGTTGCTATCTAAAAAACATTGTTTCTGCCTATATGTTTGTCTGTCTCTCTGATTGTCTCCAGGAACTCGAAGTTCAGAGAGAAAAAGGATAGGGAGAGGAAGGAGTCGAAACTCAGAGAGGGGAAGGAGTCGTTGGAGCTTGGAGAGGAGGAGGAAAAGTCGGAGCTCGGAGGGGAGGAAGAGGAGTCGAAGCTCAGAGAGGGGATGGAGTCATTGGAGCTCAGAAAGGCGAAGGAGGAGTCGGAGCTCTGAGAGGAGGAGGAGTCGAAGTTCGGAGAGACGGAGGAGGAGTAGGAGCTCGGAGAGACGAAGGAGTAAAGAAAGGAGGCGGGTATGTTCTTTGGTGAGATTACTTATTGCAGCTAAACCCAAAAAGATTGTAGTAGGATTATAATCTCTTGAAATTCCAGGCTGAAATTTATCTACTTAATATTGTTGTCATTACAGATTTTGCAGTTTGAAGTATGGCCCCCCTCATATTAGGCTAATCTGAAAGATTTACATCAAAATCCACTTTTTAAAAATTAATTAATGGGTGTTGGTGTTGTTGGCTAGGTCACCATTTACTGCCCATTTATAATTCCCCTGGAGAGGGAGATAGTGAGTTTCCTTCTTAAACTATGCAGTCCTTGGGATTAGAGATGACCACAATTCTATAAGGAAGGGAGTTCCAAGATTTTGACCCAGTGACAGTGAAGGAACTGTGGTATAGTTCCATGTCAGGACGGTGTGCAGCTTGCAGGGGAACTTGATGGAGGTGGTGCTGTTGCCTGCATATGCTTCCCTTGTCCTTCTAGATAGTCAAGACTGTGTGTTTCAGAGGTGTTTTTGGAGCCTTGATGAGTTACTGCAGTGCATCTTGTAGATGACTGCCACCACTGACCATCAGTGTTGGTGGCTAGGGTAACACTTAAAAGGGACTCTGTATCCTATATAGTGTCAAACTTTTTGAGTGTTGTTGGAGTTTCACTTACCCAGGCAAGTACAGAGTATTTCATCGCATTTCTGACTTGTGCCTTGTACGTGATTGACAGGATTTGTAGAGCCAGGAGGTGAGTTACTTGCCACAGAATTCCCAATCCCTGGCCTGCTCTTGTCACCACAGTATTTATGTAGCTCGTCCAGTTCAGTTTCTGGTCAGTGGTCACTCCAGGATGTTGATATTAAGGAATTTGATGATGGTAATGCCATTGAATGTCAAGGACAGCCCTCTGACCTTACCTCTGGAATTCACCTCTTTTGTCCAAGTTTGGATCAAGGCAATAATGAGATCAGAAACCAAATAGCCCAGGTGGAACTAATTCTGTGTGTCACTTACAAAGTTAATATTTCGAGTCTGATATGACTTTTCAGTTCTGAAAAAGAGTCATATTGGACGTGAAGAGTTAACCATGTTTCTTTCTCCACAGATGCTGCCAGACCTGCTGGATTTCTCCAGTACTTTCTGTTTATATTTTAGATTTCCAGCATGTACTGTATTTTGTTTGTAATCATTCAGTGGTGCTGCTATTGAGTCGTGCTTGGTAAATGGCATTGAAGTCCAACCAGAGTACATTCTTTGCTTTTGCCATTCTCCATGTTTCCTTCATATGGTGTTCAATGTGAAAGGGTACTGATTCATCAGCCAAGGTTAATTGTAGGTGGTAATCAGCAAGACATTTCCTCAACAATGACAACATGAGGATTCCCAGGACAACTCTCACGCAACAGTGTACCAGACTTCCACCACCTCTGATGAGGATGGCGATGCTGGTGTCTGAGGCATTGTCTAGGTGAGCTGTTGTTTGATACTTCTGTAAGATGGCTGTCCCAAATTGTGGCATGAGCCCCACATGTTGCGGGGGATGATCAATAGGGTTGTGCTTGGCCATTGTTATTTCCAGTACAGAAATTAATTAAAAATTAATTAATGGGTTGTTGGTGTCATTGGCTAGGTTACCATTTATTGCCCATTCCTAATTCCCCTGGAGAGGGAGGTGGTGAGTTTCCTTCTTAAACTACGCAGTGCTTGGGATTAGAGATGCCCACAGTTCTGTAAGAAAGGGCGTTCCAAGATTTCTTGTTTTAGACTCTAGCAATGTAGTATATGTGAGTGGCTTGCTAGATCATCACAGAGGTCAGTTAAGAATTGACCACATTGCTGTAGGTCTGGAGTCACATGTAGGCCAGACCAGGCAAGGATGGCAGATCTCCTTTCCTTAAGAACACCAATGAATAAATAGGTTTTTGCGGCAATTGACTTTAGTTGTTTAACATTTTCATTCTAGATTTTCTTTGATGTATTTAAATTTCACCACCTGCCAAGGTGGGATTTGAACCCATGTTTCCCATGGTATTAGTTTTTCTGCAAAACAAGGTCTGTCTCCAGCTAAGTCATTCCAGTACAATCCATTCTGCATCTCTGATATCTATCTAACAATGTCGACCACTTAATGTTCTTAACTAGTCCAGCATTTTTTTTTTTGCTGAGTCTATAGGTAACAAAGGCATGGATAAAGATTCCAGTTAGAATTCCTGGCCTGCTGTTGTTGCCACAGTATTTAGTTCATTCAGTTCAGTTTTTGGTCAATGGTAAAACACGTGTTGATAGTGGGGGATTCAACAATAGTAATGCCATCTCTTGTTGAATGGTCATTTGGTATGAATGTCACCTATCAACCCAGCCCTGGATATGCTGCTGAACATTGTGCAATCGTCAGTGAACATCCCTATTTCTGACTATATGATGGAGGGGCAGTCATTGACAAAGCAGCCTAAAATAGTTGAACTGAGAACACTACCCTGAGGATCTCCTGTAGAGATGTCCTGGAGCTGAGATGACTGACCTCCAACAATCACAAGCATCCTCCTTTGTGCCAGGTTTGACTCCAAACGTCAGAGATTTCCATCTGATTGCCATTGACTCCAGTTTTGCTAGAACTCTTTGTTGTCACATTTGATCCAATGCAGGTTTGATGTCAAGGCTAAGATAACAAAGTGCGGAGCTGGAGGAACACAACAGGCCAGGCAGCATTAGAGAAACAGGAAAGCTGACGTTTTGGGTTGGGACCTTCTTCAGAAATGGGGCGGGGGAGGGGAGCTCAAATAAATAGGGAGGAGGGGTGTGACTGGGGAAGGTAGGTGGGATGGTGATAGGTGAGTGCATGTAGGCCATGGTCGGGATTGGTCAGTGAGGTGGGAGGGGCGGATAGGTGGAAGAGAAGATGGACAGGTTGTGTCAGGTCAAGGAGGTGGGGATGAGAGGGAGGGTTGGTCATGGGATGAGGCCGGGGTTGGGGAGATTTTGAAACTGACAAAATCCACATTTAAGCCATCGGGCTGTAGGCTCCCAAGGCGGAATATGAGGCGCTGCTCCTCTAGTTTGTGGGTGGCATCATTGTGACACTGGAGGAGGCCCAGGATGGACATGTCACCCAGGGAGTGGAAGGGGAAGTTAAAATGTTTCACGACCGGAAGGTGGTGGTGTTTGTTGGGTAGAGAGCGCAGATGCTCCACAGAACGGCCTCCGAGTCTCTGCTTGGTCTTACCGATGCATCCGCTGCACCTGATGTGGCCTCCTCTACAGCATCTTCTTGATATCAAGGCTGTCATTCTCACGTCACCTCTGGAATTCAACTCTTCTCTTCTTGTTTGAACCAAGACTGTATTGAGGTCGGGAGCTGAGTGATCCAGAACCCCCATATTGAGCATCAGTGAGCAGGTTACTGTTAAGCAAGTGATTCTTGATAGCACTGCAAATGACCCCTTATGTTGGTTTACTGATGATCATGATGAGTACGGCAGAAATAGACTAAGTTAGATTTGTCCTGTTTTTGGTGTACAGGACATTCCTGCACAATTACCTACGTTGTCGGGTAGCTGCCAGTGTTATAGCTGTAACGGAAAACTTCCCTAACTATAACCAGACCTAGACAACATTCAGACTTGGACTTCTAAATGGCAAGAGATTTTGTACATCACAGGTGCCATGAAATGACCACCTCTGACAGCAAAGGGTAACCGTCTGCCTATGAAGTTTAATAACATTCTTGCCAAATTTTTCACCATTAGCATACTGAAGAATGATCATAGCTGCAAGGTTAATTTGGAGAATTGGTGAGTGTTCTCTTTGAAATAAAGGAAGTTGAGTGGAGATTTGGTAGAAGTAAGCAAGATTTTTGCAGGTTCAGATAAGGTACACAGAGAAAAGCTGATCCAATCAGCTGATGATGGAAGGACCAGGGGAAAACAGTTTGAAGCTTTGAGCAAGCAATTTAAGGGGTGGTGTAAGGAAGAGCTATCTTGCGCAGCGAGTGGTAAAGACCTGAAACTCATTTCCCACAAGGGTGAGAAGCAGAGATGATCAGTGATTTCAAAAATAAAAGCATAATACTATGGACTCTGGAGATCTGAAATAAACATAGCAAGTGAAGAAACTCAGCAGGTCTGGAAGTGTTAATGGGGTATGAAACACAGTTAATATTTTGTTTCAGAAGTTCTGTAGAAGTCATATTGGATCTGAAACATGTTTTTCTTGCCCCAGATGCTGTCAGACCTGCTGAGTTTCTCCAGGACTTTGTTTTAATTTTTAAATTGGATGATCACTTCAGGGAAATAAATTTGCAAGGTTGTTGAGTTAATGTGGGATACTGCATTTCTCCAGAGGAAGACGACGTGGGGTTGAAGGGCTAACTGACTACCTCTTGTGCTAATGTGACTCTCTAGACCAGAAACTTAACTTGAGTCTTGTCAAAGTGAGAGATATGTTGCAGTCATCAGGACAAGAATTTATACTACAGGAGAAAAGGGTGCTGATTGGTTGGCAAGATGACTGATTGGTCAACTATTTAATTGCCAAATTATCTGCACCATAAACAAAATTCTGACTATGGGAAGCAGGTTGAAGGCTGGGGGTTCTCTCGTTCATCAGCTGACTCCAAATCCTCTCCACCCACTACCACATACATCAGGAATTTGATGGTTACTGTTCGCTTACCTGAACAATGCAGCTCCAAGGTGTTTCATGCTCCACATTATCCAGTACAAGTAGTCTGATTAATTGATTGCCACTCAATCACCAACTTTAAAACAACTTTGTCTGTATTGTATAAGATGGCATTATCATGGGCAACGTCTGTGATGAGTGACCATGACAGTCTCTATCTCCATTATGTTCTTATTGCTTCACTGGTGATCCTTTGCTAGGAATTCAAATGTAGCAGTGAGGAGCCACAATACTAAAGCTGATCCTTGAAAATGCCCATGTTGAAAACCAATCATCTCTGTGACAGCTGGCTGAATGGTGGCAGCACTGAGTTGGAAGAAGTGGTCAAAATAATTTTTCATTTCTTGTGGGTTACATTTTGATTTCAAAGAGCTCCTTGGATCTAAAGGTTTAAGGATCAAACTGCTTTCAAAGCAGGAATTTGCAAACACTTTCAGCACCTCCATGAAAGAAACAAGAGACTCAGTGCTGGGCCGATGGGTTAGAATCCAATTAAATGGTTTTCTTTCTTGCATCTCCTCCCGTGGCTGATACTAAAGCAAACCCTAGGTATGGATGGTTAAGCTCTTCAGAATTAGCTGGACTCCTGATGTTTCCTCTGCATCAAAGCCTTTCTCTGTGAAAAAGCTTGCCTGTACACAGGCATTTTTATACCAGAGACATTTTTCTAAAATTAAGGGAAACAAAAAACTGGATTTCTGTCATCTTATTTTTTCACCACCTATCCTAGGTGTGTGTATTTTAAACTTCACTTGCTAAAGTGTTTATTGTGCAAATATAAAGTAGGAAGAAAACCATTGGAAATGATTTAACTTTTTTCATTTGAATGGGTTTTTTGTTGTTCCAGCAGTTGGTTGTAAACTTGAAATACAGGGGCCAGGAGGAGGGTTTCAGAATTTAAAAATATCAGGAAACCCTATCAAAAATGACAACAACTTGCAAGTATGAAAGGTGAGAAATATTGTCTGTTGTAACCCCGACCCCCCCACCCCCCCAAAAGAACAATGGAGGAACCATAAAGTATAGTGATATTTTTTGCAAGAGGGCAAGTGACCTTCTTGTCACTGTGTTTTGAGGCTGTTCTGTCATCACCTTTTGAGGAAAAGGGTTGCAAAATCTCACATCTCTTATAAAAAAAAAAATTATCCTTATCTCTGTCTTAAATGGGCGAGTGTTTATTTTTAAACAGTGACCTTGATCGCTGGATTCTCCTACAAGAATAAACATTGTTTTCAATCCACCTTGTCAGGACTCCTCAGGATGTTATGTTTCAGTCTTGCTCTCCTTAATTCTGTCCAACCCTTCCTCAAGGCAACCCACCCATTCCAAGTGTTAAGTCCAGTCTCACTCCAGAGAATAGCATAAGATCTTAGTTGATGCTGTACTGTTGTATGTACTTTTTCAGAGATATTAAATCCATGTCCATTTTTTTCCCTCAAATAGCCACAAGATATTCTATACATTATTTTGTACCACACATGGGTCAAGCAATGATCATCAACAAAAGAAAATCACGCCATCTCCCCTTGACACTTAACAACATTAACATTGCTAAATCTCCCATCATTAACATCCTATGATAGGGTTACATTTACCAGAAATCTAATTGAATGAACCACATAAATACTGTGGCTACAAGAGCAGAAAGTCCAATAATGCTGCCGTGATTGTATTGTGACTTCTAAAGATTGCGCAGCAACTTCAAAACACAGTGAGGCGTGTGATAGAATGCTCTTCATGAATGATCGGGAGGCTTGATTGGCAAGTCATTCACCACCTTGATCATTCACTCTCTCCATCACCAACATAAAGTCGGAGCAGTGAGTGCTAATTACCAGATGCAATACAGGGACTTGCCAAAGTTTCTTTGACAATATCTTCCAAACCTTTGACCTCTACAATTAATACAAGTGTGGTAGATGTAGGGGAACACGACCAACTGAAAGGTTATCCTGTAAGTTACGCATCCTGACTTGGAACTATATCACCAATCGCTCATTGTTGCTGGCTCATAAGAACATAGGAACCAGGAGCAGGAGTAGGCCATCTGGCCCTTTGAGCCCACTCTGCCATTCAATTCGATCATGGGTGATCTTTTCATGTCCTAAGTTTCACTTACCACCCTCTCACCATAAACCTTAATTGACTATTCAAAAATTTTTTTACCTTAGTTTTAAAAACATTCAATGAGGAAACCTCAACAACTTCACTGGGCAGGGAATTCCACAGGTTCACAACCCTTTGAGTGAAGAAGTTGCTCCTCAATTCAGTCCTAAATCTGCTTCCCCTTATTTTGGCGAATGCCCTCTTGTTCTAGTTTCACCCGCCAGTGGAAACAACCTCCCTGCTTCTATTTTATCTATTCCCTTCATAATTTTATATGTTTCTGTAAGAGTCCCCCTCATTCTTCTAAATTCCAATGAATAAAGTCCCAGTCTATTCAGCCTCTCCTCATAAACCAACCTTTTCAACTCTGGAATCAACCTAGTGAATCTCCTCTGCATCCCCTCCAGTGCCAGTACATCCTTTCTCAAGTAAGGAGACCAAAACTGCACGCAGTACTCCGGGTGTGGCCTCACCAGCACCCTATGCAACTGCAGTGTAACCTCCCTGCTTTTAAACTCAATCCGTCTAGTAATGAAGGACAAAATTCCATTTGCCTTCTTAATTATCTGTTGTACTTGCAAACCAGTCTTCTGTGATTCATGCACAAGGACACCCAGGTCCCTCTGCACAGCAGCATGCTGCAATTTTTTACCGTTTAAAATCCTGAAGCTTCTTCCCAAACATCAATGATATACCTACATCAGATGCTCTGCAGCAGTTCAAAAAGGTAACTCACTTTCACCTTCTTGTAGATAAATGAACAGGAGTAATAAGTACTAATCTAGAATTTTTTTTAAAAGAATGCTCTTCTCAATTCATAAATCAAGTGGTTTATCTGATTGTTACATTTGCTGAATGTGGGACCTGCAGTTCATAAATTAGCTACAGCATTTCCTACATTAGAGTAACTGCACTTCAGTTGTCTACAAAGCACTTTAGGACATGAGAAGATTATAAAATGTACACTGGAAATGTCTTTCTGGTGGTATCTTTAGGTGAAGTAGTAACAATGTTCCTGATCTAAGATATCTCTGTAATGCTTGGAAACTTTCAGGATTTTTTTTCCTGATATTCCATATAATCATGCAAAAAGCACAAGCTTGATTCTCTTCTACCTTTCCTTAGTCTTTTTCTGTGATACCATATTATATACTTTTGTTTAGAATTTTGGCTGAACAATTAGAGGTGTGAATGTTAGCAAAAATCCATCATTATATGAAGACTGAATGGCTTTCCCACCTTCTGTGACATTACATTTTCATTTGGCAACTGGTTTGTGCACACAATGTGTGTGGATGCTCTGTTCAGTCTGCAGGCTTCTAAAACTACTGTCAATGTTCCAATTTTTTTTTTTGCTGTGGAAAAGCAGACTTCAAGATCCAGAAGTTGTCATAGAAGATCTTCCAGCAAAAAGAGAGATTCATATATAGAGAAAACTCGTGAGCTGAAGGAACAACCATGGAGGTTGGATCCGAAGGAAGCATTGTGGGCTTTTGAAAGACGCAGGTTAGTGTACTGAACTTCAGAATGCATTTAAAACTTAAAAGGACAGTGGAATATTTTCACCTTGGGTTGAAGTGCATAATATTTACAGAGAACAAAATACTGAAAATTGTTGAAATTTGAATGCTTCAGTAATTCAGACTGATAAACTCTCATTTCCATTACATTTGTTTTTGTTAAACATACTAGCAATCATAGATACTTAATGAGCCATCCCCAGATGACTTTACTTTTTTTTATTCAGGATTCATTGGAAACACTAGCAAATAATCTTCTTAAGCAGGTGTTGGTTTATTCTGATCACTGAATACAACTGTTAGATTTATGCCAAATTCCTTTCATTTGATTTGTTATAGTCATATGTACTGAGATACAGTAAAAAGTATTGTATTGCGTGCTGAACTGATAAACCGTACCTTACATAAGTACATCAGGTTAATAAGAAAAGAATGAGAATATAGTGTTAAAGCTACAGAAAAGGTGCAGAGAAAGATCAACTCTTACATGTGAGAGGTCCGTTCATAAGTCTGATAACAGTGGGGAAGAAGCTGTTCTTAGATCTGTTGCTATGTGTTTTCAAACTTTTGTATCTCTGCCTGATGGAAGAGGGTGGAAGAGAGTATAACCGGGTGGGAGGAGTCTGATTATGTTGGCTGCTATCCGAAGCAGTGGGAAGTGTAAATGGAGTCAGTGGAAGGATGACTGGTTTTTGCGTTGGATTGGGCTACATTCAGAACTCTCTAAGTTCTTGCAGTCTTGGGCAGAACAGTTGCCATATCAAGCTGTGATGCATCCAGATAGGATGGTTTCTGTGGTGTATCTAAAAAAATTGGTATGTGATGGTAGATATGCTGAATTTCCTTAGCCTTCTGAGGAAGTAGAAGTGTTGGTGTGCTTTCTTGACTGTAGCATTGACATGGGATGGTCCAGGACAGATTGTTGGTGATATTTACTCTTAGGAACTTGAAACTCTCGACCACCTCCACCTCAGCACCATTGATACAGACAGGGGCATGTCCTCTACTCTGCTTCCTGAAGTCGATGACCAGCTCGTTATTTTGCTGACATTGAAGGAGAGATTGTTGTCTTTACACCATGCCACTAAGCTGTCTGTCTCCTTCTGTACTCTATAAAAACCGAAAGAACTGTGGATGCTGTAAATCAGGAACAAAAACAAAGTTGCTGGAAAAGCTCAGCAGGCCTGGCAGCATCTGTGAAGGAAAAAAACAGAATTAACATTTCGGGTCTGGTGATCTTCCTTCTGTACTCTGCCTTGTTGTTTGAAGTCCGACCCACTATGGTGGTGTCATCAGCAAATTTGTGAATGGAGTTAGAGTTGAATTTAGCTACACAGTCATGAATGCATAAGGAGTATAGTAAAGGGCTGAATATGCAGCCTTGCAGGCCACCAGTGTTGAGGATTCTTGTGGTATTGCCACCTATCCTTACTGATTACGGGAAGTCAAGGATCCAGTTGCAGAGGAGGGAGCAGAGCCCTAGGTCTTGGAGTTTGGAGATGAGTTTTGATGGAGTTATGGCATGATGACACAGCTAAAGTCAATAAATAGGAGTCTGATATAGGTGTCCTTGTCATCCACATGTTCCAGGGATGAGTGTAGGGCTATAGAGATGGTGTCTGCTGTGGGCCTGTTGTGACGGCAGACAAATTGTAGCAGATCAAGGCAGTCTGGGATGCTGGATTTGATGTGTGCCAATATTAACCTCTTGAAGCACTTCATAATGATGGATGTTAGGGCGAAAGTCATTGCCTGATTTTTCTTTTGCACTGGGATGATGGTGGTCTTCTTGATGCAGGTGGGAACCTCACATCAGAATAAGCAGACGTTAAAGATGTCTGTAAATACTCCCGCCAGCTGGTCCATTTAGGAGCTGAGTGCACAGCTATGGACTCCATCCAGGCCAGTCGCTTTCTGTGGGTTCATCCTCAAGAATGCTGATCTGATATCTGCGGCAGTGACTGTGGGTACAGGTTAACCAGAGGCTGGCAGGCAGGTGGCATCATTTCACTGACCTTCCATTAAAAACAAGCATAGAATGCATTGTTGTCAGCGATTCTACCCGACTTTGTTTTGTAGCCTGTTATACCATGTAACCCATGCCACTGCCGACATGTGTTTGTGTGGTTAGTCCAGAACTCTAGCTTAGTCTGGTATTGTCTCTTGGTGTCCCTGATGGCTTTCCTGTATAGATCAAGGTCACTCAGACCCGGACTTCAATAGGGATTAGACCTTCCAGTTCATCCATGGTTTCTGGCTGGGGAACACTCGCATTAACTTCTTTGGCACCAGTCCTCTACATACTTGCTGATGAAATCTGTGACGGTAGTGGCGTATTCATTTAGGTTGACCACTGAGTTCTTGAATACAGACCAGTCCACCAACTCCAAGCAGTCACATAGGAGCTTACTACTGTAAGACTTTCTGTACCAGATCTTCACACTTCAGTTTCTGCTTGTAAGCTGGGAGAAGGAGCACAGCCTTATGGTCTGATTTATTAAAATGTGGGCAGAGGATGGAGCGATAGGCGTCTTTGATTATGCAGCAATGGTCCAGGATGTTTGGGCCTCTGGTGGGACAGGAAACGTGTTGGTGGTATCTTGGTAGCATATTCTTGAGGTTGGCATGGTTGATGTCACTAGCTACGATGAACAAGGCCGGAGGGTATTCCATCTGAAGGTTATTTGTAGCGGTGTATATTTCATCAAGTGCACCTTTCACTTCTGCATGGGGTGGGATGTAAACTGCTGTCAGGATAACAGAAGTAAAATCCCACGGCAGGTAGTAGGGACAGCACTTAATCGTTAGATATTCCTGGTCTGGAGAGCAGTAACCCAACAGGGTCATCACATCTGAGCACCAAGAGGTGTTGGTCAGGAGGCAGACCCCTCTACCCTTTGCATTGCCTGAGGACACTGTGCAGTCTATCCAGTGGATTGAGAAGCCCTCGGGTTGTAAGGCACAGTCGGGTGAAGCAGGAGTGAGCCGTGACTCTGTCGCACACAGCACGTAGCAGTCTCTCAATTCCCTTTGTCTTTTGACTAAATTTTGACACTAGCTGAGGAACAAAAAGAGTACAGCCTTCATCATGAAGAGACTAAGAGAAGTTGGAAGCTGCAGTCATTCACTGATTGCAGATCAGATATTTGATTGCAGTCCGTTCCTGTCATCTGCTAACATTATTGGTTCTTCTTTATGATGTAAATTCTGGGACCAATTTATTGCCTTGGCAAAGTGGCTACAATGCTTGGAGTTTTGTCAGTTAGCATTGATAGGGTTTTCCTAGCACAGAGTATACAATGTCTAATGTAACGCCATTTCTGCCCATGCCGCATTTGTAGTAGAGATTATTGGAATGTGATCAAAGAAGTTACTTGCCTGGTTTCCCCCTCTCCAAATTGTCTACCTGAGGTTGTTAAATCTGCACAGATCAGATATCAAAATATAATAGTCCTGTCCAAGAGAGACCACTGGATACCGTCCTTTGTTTTAGAAGTACTTTCTCCCCTTGTTCCTTTCGCACTTTCAATAACATATTACAAGAGTCATTGATATATGGTAATCAAATAAAAGTTCGTCACTTTCTACGATCTGTTATTTCATGAGACCAACTTCTGCCATTTTATCTAATTTTCTCATGAAATTTGTAAAACACGAGCCTTGAATATAGGACAATTAATGCCATTTTAGTCATTGTCAATCTTCCTGTTAATTTTTAATTTACACAAAGAAGTTGAAGGTGACTTGCATCTATATAATGCTCACTTCAGGGTATTTGATTTCTGAAGTGATGTTTTTTCTGTTTCTCTCTAGAGAGCGTGAAATATGGGAAGAAGAAGCTAGAGAGTTATTAGAAAGGGACCTTGATCGACTCCAGCTTGAGAGGATGTGTCTTGAAAGAGGGAGACTGGATGAATCTTTTCCGATAAGGCAGAGGTTATTGTTAGGGGAGGTAAGGAGAATGATCTGCAAATGGAAATTGAAAATGCCCTATTGTGATTCTGTTGTTAATTTTTGTCTGTCTGTGGACCTTTGACTATTTTTTGCATCTTTTCTTAATTACTGCACCGTCTGGTCACTGACAGATGTTGGTGTCATACAAGCTGTGGTCTCCTGATTCCACTTCTAATATATTTTATCTAGATTGGCTGAGAGGTTGGATAATTAAATTTAATTTTTTTAGTGCTTTCTTGATTTAATCCAAACCCTCAAAATTTAAAACAAAACCATAAAGTTCTAGAGAAACTGAGCAAGTCTGGCAGCATCTGCAGAGAGAAAAGCAGCTAGCATTTCATTCCGGAGATAGTAGGGTCTAGGCCTGAAACGTCAGCCTTCCTGCTCCTCTGATGCTGCTTGGCCTGCTGTGTTCATCCAGCTGTACACCTTGTTATCTAGCATTTCATTCCAGTGACTTTTCATCGGAACTGTGAGCAGAAAGGTCACTGGATACAAACGTTAACTCTGTTTTTCTCTCTACAAATGCTGCCAGACCTTCTAAGTTTTTCCAGAACTGTGTGTTTGTTTTAAACTTGTACTAGTTGTTTGTGTGAGCTATAATCTCAGTGAATAACTATTAGCCTGGCACAGAGTTAAGTAAAGGTGATGTCTACTGAATGTGTTCCTTTTATATAGGCAGAAAAGCAAACACAGGAACGAACTTACCGACAGAGGGAATGGCTGCTACAGAAAATGTGCTTGGAAGAAGCTGTAAAACGACAGTTTTTTGATATTGGGTAAAGCAAATCTTGATTGTCTTCCAGTTTTCAAATAATTCTGAGAGAAGATGTCTAATTGGTGAGAATTATAGACATTCATATCCCCTGAAAGCTCAATCAGTAAAAATAAAAATAAGTGTAACTGACTGAGAATGATCAATTAGGCCCTAGAAACAATCCCTGTTCAATCTGTATTTAGCTGACCTTAAATAGAGCAGTCGTCTTCTAAACTATGCTTCTTTTGCTTAGCTAACTTTGCCACTAGGTGGGAGAGGAGGTGAGGGATAGGTAACAGAGTGATAATGATTACTGGACAAGTAATCCAAAAGCCCTAACTGGAACAAAAGGTTGGTTTCGGTAATGGTGACGATGGAAATAATGTAAAAAACCCATCTAGTTCCCTTGAGTCCTTTAGCGAAGGAAAGCAAAACAGTCCAACCTGGTAAATTACTGGCCCATCAGTCTACTCTCATTCATCAGTAAAGCAATGGATCAAATCATCGAACTGCACTTGCTTAGATTAACCTGTTCACTGCCACTCAGTTTGGGTTCCTCCAATTTCACTCAGTTATTGACCACATTACAGCCTTCGTTTAAACACTGACAAAAGAGCTGATTTCCACAGGTGACGCAAGAGTGACTGCCCTTGAAAACAAGGCTGTCTTGACTGAGTGTGGCATGAAGGAGCCCTAGCAAAATGAGTAAATAGGAATCGTGGTTGGATTCATACTTAGCACAAAGGAAGATGGTTGTAATTGTTGGAGGTCAGTTATCTCATCTCTGCAGGAGTTCCTCAGGGTAGTGTCCTCGGCCCAACAATCTTCCAATCATACAAACAAGTAACAAGAGTAAGCCACACGACCCTTTGGGCCTGCTCTGTCATTCATTAAGATCATGGCTGATCTGACATTAACCTCAACGCTGCATTGCTCTATGTCCTGATAATCTTTCACCCCGTGGTAATCAAGAATCTCTCTACCTTCATATTTAAAGATTCTTCATTCACTGCCTTTTGAGGAAGGATATTCCAAAGATAGTCAATCCTCTTAGGGGAAAAAAAGTTTCTTCATTATTCTCTTAATAGGTGACCCCTCCTTTTTAAACAATGTTATCCCCGGTTTTGGAATCCTCTACAAGAGAAAACATTCTTTTGACATCCACCTGATCACGACCCTTAAGGATCTTGTATGTTTCAATTGAGTCAACTCTGACGCTTCTGAATTCAAGACAATACAGGCCTAGTCTGTCTAGCCTTTCTTCATAAGGCAATCTGCTTATTTCCAGGTATTAGTCAAGTAAACCTTCTCTGGATTGCTTCCATTGCATTGACATCCTTCCAAAAGGATGGTAACCAATACTGTACATAGCAATTCATGGTCTCACCAATGCCCTGTAAAACTGAAGCATAACCTCCCTACTCTTGCATTCAAATCTCCTCGCAATAAAGAACAACATTATTAGCTTTCCCGATCACTTGCTGTACCTGCATACTAACCTTAGTGGCGTATTCACATGGACACCCAGATCTCAGAGCTCTGCAACCTTTCATCATTTAGGTGATATGTTTCTTTTATATTCTTTCTGCAAAAATAGACAATTTCACATTTTTCTACATTGTATTCCATTGGCCAGATCCTTGCCTACTTACTTAACCTTACATAACGGGCAGCACGGTAGCTCAGTGGTTAGCACTCATGCCTCACAGCACCAGGGACACAGGTTTGATTCCAGCCTTGGGTGTCTGCGTGGAGTTTGCACGTTCTCCTTGTCTCTGCTTGGGTTTCCCTTGGGTGCTTCAGTTTCCTCCCACAGTCCAAAGATAGGCAAGTTAGATCGAGTGGCAATACTAGATTGTCTGTAGTGTCCAGGGTTGTGCAGGTTAGGGTGGGTTAGCCATGGCACATATGGAGTTACAGGGATAGGGTGGGGGCTGCGTTTGGGTGGGATGCTCTTCAGATGGTCAGTGCAGAATCAATGGGCCAAATGGCCTCTTGCCACACTGTAGGGATTCTATGATTCTAACCTATCCATATCCCTTTTCAGGCTCCTTATGTCCTCTTCACAAATAACTTTCCTACTTATCTCCCCACATTCCCACTTATCTATAGCAAATTCAGCTACCATGCATTCAGTCCATTTATCCAAATCATTTATATGAATTGTAAAATGTTGAGACCCCCCCCACACCATGTATTGTGAGCAGTTTTGGGCCCTGTATCTTGGAAAGAATGTGCTGGCTTTGGAGGGGGCATAGAGGAGGTTTACAAGAATGATCCTGGGGATGAACGGCTTGTCACATGATGAGCGGTTGCGGACTCTGGTTCTGTACCCTTAGAAGGATGAGTGGGGATCCCATTGAAACTTACAGAATACTGAGAGTCCATGATGGAGTGGATGCAGAGATGATTTTTCCAGTGGTAGGAGAGACTAGGATCTAAGTGCACAGCCTTAGAGTGAAGGCACAACCCTTTAGAACAGAGGTAAGGAGAAATTTCTTCAGCCAGATGGTGGTGAATCTGTGAAAATTATTGCTGCAGAAGACTGTGGAGACCATGTCATTGAGTGTATTTGAGACAGAGAGAGACAAGTTCGTGATTAGTAAGAGGATCAATGATTATGGGGAGAAGGCAATGGAATGCATTTGAGAAACATATCAGCCATGATGGAATGGTGGAGCAGATTCAATGAGCCAAATGGCTTAATTCTACTCCTGTATCTTATGGTCTTATGTTACTAAGTAAAAATCTTGAAATATCCATCCTAACACCACTGTGGGTATGCGTATGCTATATGGACTTGCAGTGGTTCAAGAATGATCCTTATTGATTAGGCATTGCCTTTCATTCTTTCTGTCGCAAAGAACAAGACCCTGTTTATTAATAAATGTAGCCTCCAGTACATGCAAATGAACCAGAAAAGGATTGTCAACCAGGATCACGAATCGGTTGTCAATGTAATTGTTCACATACTCGGGATAATCAGCAGTTGTTGTCCAGTTACAGAATGCTACCTCATGTTGGACAATGTGTTGAGTTTTGCAAGTGCAGTCTGATTGGGTACAGTCAGTACTTTACTTGTTGAAAATACTTGAAGGAATGTGATCCACCAGTCCTTGGGATATATGGCCTACATAACTATCAATACATCAGCACTAAAGTTCATGTATCACATTACTCATTAGTGTGGCAGGTAGAATGTCTTTTCCCTGTAACCCTGGACATTGTTTTTATTCAAATAATTATTTAATGCCCTTTTGAATGCCTGAATGAATCTTCCTCCACCACATTTCTAGACACTACATTACATTCCCTAAATGGAGAAAAGTTTGCTTCTGTTGCAAAACACTTTAAATCTAAGCACCCGGTTCTCTATCATTTTATAAGCAGAAGTAGTTTCCCCCATCCATTCTGACGATTTTGAAAGCTCCTATCAAATCTCCTCAGCCTTCTCGTCTTCAAAGCAAACGATTTCTTCAATTTAGCCTAAGAATTGAAGTTTCTCAGCCATGAACCATTTTTGTAAATCTCTTTTGCACCCTCTAATGCGTTCACATCTTTCTGAAAGTGTGGTACCCAGAACTGTACACAATTCTCCACTTCAGGTCTAACCATGTACTTCAGCATGAATTCCTTGCTCTTGTATGCTACATCCATATTAATGAAGGTAGAATACTGTTCCCTACAATACTGAGTACTGTATTATAAATGAATTTAGAAATGAAATGGTATCACATTAGATTTAATACGCTCTTGAAGAAATTTAGCATTGAGCTTACCTATTCTTAACTGTAAAATGAACTGTGTTGTTGATACCCCAAATTTGGATTTGATGTACTTCTGTCTCAGATATACCAATAGTCACTTGGTAGTACAGAAATTGAGTGATGCCGAAAAACACATATTTTGTCAAAGCTTTCATTTTGCACTCATCAGGAGAATATGCAAGAATACCAATTAAGGGGGAAAATCTTTGAAAGTCCCCAGTCTACTGCAGATTAAAGGGAAGGTACCTTAAAAGTTTAAGCAACAGGTGAAGCTTGCTGTTTCACATTGCTAATACGTAGTAGCAACATGAGTGTTACCTGCCACTCTCAGGATGTTGCAATCAAGCCAAAAACATGTTCTGCCTTTCTCATCAATGAATAAAATGGTATATAAATTTTAGTGCTAGCCTGATGCCAGGTATGCAGGCAATACTTTTCAAAAAAACTGGTGGTTTGTGAAAAACAGCATATCCCTTCAGCTGTTTGCAACAAGTAAATTACTTGCCATACTCAACCACCTTAAGCTTGTAACACAGTGTCCAACATTAGATGTGATTCTGCCATTGGACAATATTTACTGAAGAACTTTGAGTGTGCAACCAATTGCGCTGACAACCAAGTTAGGATAATTGATTGGGCTTGCAGTTTAGCATATTTGTGGTGGAAGCTACATTCATTATCACACAGGGCTTTGTTTGTAGACAAAAAATATGTACACCTGTAAACCAATCAGCACTGTCCTCTTGTGCATTATAAATATTGGATTTCCCCTTGGTATTCTTTCAAACTGTCAAATTTTGCTATTGGCAGTATGTGTCTTTTCTCAGAAACATTCAGAATCTTTACTACTAAACAGCTAAATGTATCTGTACTATTTCACTTTAACCACTCCTAGTTCCATATTATTGCCAAACTTCGGGTAAATAATTAGCTTCTGAATTCCCTATTGGATAACTTGGTGACTATAACGAAGCTGTGACTGTATCGATTCTGTAAACTCCTTGAGGAACGTAAATAGATATTCCTGATCAGCAACTGTAAGATAAAGGAAGGAATAAAGTCAGTTAAGAGACCTGAAACTTACGACGTGGAACTTAACTCATTGGGAGGGTGCTGTATGGAGTGAAATGAAGCTGTGAAGCAAGTAGAAAACGGAGGCTTTAAATTTCATCCTTTGGGGTTTAGAGGTCATTAACATTGAAAGTGGTGAGATGTTAGTGATACAGTGAGGCCAAGGAGTGTTGTGTCAGCAGGATGTAGAATAAGGCAGGACATAGACAGCTGAGTTTTGGGCACATTGGTCTCTGGAGGTTTTAGGATGCTAACCAGCAGAGTGAGTATTGGAATTATTGAACCTAAGATGATACAATCATGGATTATGGTTTTGGCTGTAAGAAGAATTAAGGTGTCTATTTTTCGTTAGGTTGTAGAATTGAAAAAGAATATCAAGCTTTTCCTGCTCTGGCGCAAGCTAACCAACTAATAAGAGCAATAGAGTAAGTAGCAAGGAACATTTCTAGTCTTTCTCTGGCACGGACTGAAAATAGTAGTTTAAATCTTCCTGATAACTAATTAGGAGTAATATTCATTCATCCACTGACAGGCAGTTTGACCGTAGAGAGCAGAACTGGGGTCAAAGGAAGTAGTGGAACTTTCCAACTGTATCTACGCTGCACTGTCCTGACGTCTCCAACTTTCTTTCTGTAATAAGAGTTATCGATAATTGATAACCAATACTTGCTTAACTGATGCCTTGCACTGGTTTGTCATTGTCTGTCTTATATTCATTGTTCCTACATATTAAACCCAGAACTCCATCTGCTATTGTAGCATTGCTAGATTTTTTCCACCTGCTTTATAATTCAGCACTTCTTTGCTTTTGCATTCCATTAGAAATATACTGTTTACATTTTTCATTCTCTGTTCTTTTTCCAAGTAGATGTCACCTGGGCCTTGTATGTATAAATGGTTACTTGGTAATTTGAGTCCAGTTAGCCCAAAATGAAGCATGAAATATTAATTTTCTTTCTTCATTAGACCACATGGAGCATGGGAACGAGAAACAAAACAAGAGTGGGAAGGTAGAGAATTGGACCAAGTAAAGTATGAAAGATTACGTCTTGACAGAAAAACACTGGAACCTGAGACACAGGAAAGGTTACCATTCTTCTTAGGTGGGGTAAGGAGAACAATGCAGAGCAAGTGTAAAAGGGCCTTGCAGACAGATTTTGTCACTGTCTTTCTCCTTGTTAAATTTCTGAGTTGTGGCTGCTGTTTTGGTTTGAATGTTACTTTTTGAAACTTCGCTGCAAATGTTAATGAATGAATTCCGATGAACTCAGTTATGTAAATATTGCTTCCACTCTTGAGGCTTACCATGACATGCTATAAAATATGAAGATTGGGTAAAATGGCTTGTTTTGTGTCCTTTAGTTTTACTGCTGCATGAATGTTTATCCCCATTGTTTTGCTTAACTCTTGATTATAGTTTTTATGATCACTATCACTAAGACTAGTTTTATATTCTATATTTATTTAAATTCCACCAGCTGTCATGGTGGGATTTGATCCCACGCCCCAGAGCATTAACATGGGTCTCTGGATTACTGGTGCAGTGGCATTATCACAATGCAAGTATTTTCACTGTTTTTTTTAAAGAATAAGTATTGGGTAGGAGAACAGTTAGAATAGACTCTTCAGCCCAGTTTTTAGGATTAGACCTCAAACGAAAGTCTTCTCAAGAGGACGTAAGAGATCCAGTAACACTATTTGAAAAAGAATAGATGAGTTCTACCTATTATTCCACAACCTACATCATTTAAAAACAAGAGATCGGGATATCTCATTGCTATTGGTGGTGCCTTGTATGCAAGTTGACTGCTGTATTACGAAGTTACCTGATTGACCACACTTCAGAAGCATTTCTTTCTTCCTTGCATGTATCATTGTCTATAAACTAGGTCTCATAACAATAGGTCTGGTTGCTAAGATGATGTGATCTACTTTCCAACCGGTTATCTGTCTATGAAATGGTACAAACAATGCAGAAGTGTCCATCTGTAGCTAACCCCATGACATTGGGCTATGGGTTGGGACATTGATCTTGGGCCATCCTATTTCATTTGTTGGTTAAATACCTTGAAGTTAATGACTATTGATTAGCATTGTTTATTGTCAAGTTCAGAACTGAACATGTTCTGTCATGTCTTTGAGCTGTTTTATTTTCATTGTGGCCAGCGGTAAGTAAGCAGGATTTAATTTGCTTGCAAGTCAACAGTAGATTTCCTGTTTACAAAATGGGAGTATATTGTCTTTTGCTGGGTCAAAATTTGTCTTTTTTCTTCTTTTCAAGAACATGCACTCCCAGATTTTCTTGGCTACTATTTGACTTTTAGGGCCTACATTTTGATTTTCAGGGCTCCTTAGGTTAGAAACCAAACTTTTCAAAGTAAGGATGTGCAAACTTGCTGCACATCTCTACCAAAGAATATTAAAAAAAATAGAAACTTGTACTGGGCATGCAGCCAGTGCTCAACAGCATAACATTTTTCTTCATTCACCACCCATCCACCCTATTGTCCTTCTGCAGCTGCTGATATTAAGGCAAACTTGGGACCTGGAGGTTAGGCTCTTCTGGGTCAAATGGACTCCCAAATCTTCTGATATGTCAAACTTGTAAAAAAAAATACATTGATAACCAAGAATGTATACAGACGGGGTCTTCTATACATTTAAAGAAAAAAGTCATAAGGGGAACAGACAAAATTGATTTCCCCATAGTATTTTCTCCCTTTACATCAGATCTCTTAAAACTAAAAGAGGAAGAAATCCTCCAAAACATCCTTTTTCCTTTTATTCCAGATGTAGTTTCTAAATTTAAAAATGAGGAAGAGAGTTTTAGAAGGAAAAATAAAGATCTTTTTTGTGAAAGACTTGGAAAATCATACTAATTTAATTGACTCAAATAAAATGTGGAAGTGGGCAATGTTACCCACATCTCTCTCGCCCTGAGAGGTTCTTCCTTCTCCCTCCACATCCAGTCGACTGCTTACACTGTCTTTCTTTCTACCTCTCACTCTGATTTTCTTACAGACACAGACAGAATCACTATACCTGTACCACATGCACCAACATCTTGGTCTCTTATTTCTCTGTCTCTTTTTCTCTCTCTCTCTCTCCTGCTGCTGCTCCACTTCCTCAGATCACAATTTTCCTCTACTATCTAGTTGTTCTTTCAATCATAACTTCTGTCTCTGGAGAAAGGCCAAGAACAAGAGTAAGGAAGCCTGTGATTGTAAAAGTTGGAGCAGTAGCATTTGAGATTGATGTGTGATTGCAGCAGCAATTGCTCACAGATTCTGTCTCCAAGGTATGTTTGTTCTTTCCATTGTCTATCACAAAATTGTTGAGGGAGCCTTATTCCATAAAATTTAACAATAGGGCTGACAATTTCATGAAAGATGTTTACCCCATCTTTGTATTTTTGAGGAGTCATTTTAGAAGAGGATTCAACTGTTACCCTGTTTCTTTTGAGTATTGATATGGAGTTTGTTATATGCATTAAGCCAATAGCAAGTACTTTTATCAATAGTAAAGGAAAGAGATCACAAAGGGTGGTATGACTCCATTAAGTACAAGTGCACTTGTTGTAAAGATGTACAATGCACAATGTTAAAAGGGTTTAGTATCCATTTTCACAGTAGAGGAAGAGAACAAGATATCAAAGTAACAGGGAAATCTAAAGCAAGGAATTTGATGGATTTAAATATTATTTTTAAAATATATAATGGAGAAATTATTCAAACTTAGAATACCTTATTGAACACAATAGATGAGAAAGTTGCAAATCTTTGTCACCATTCTCCAAAGCACTCTAAATTCAGGGATTGTACCTGTGGGTTGAAAATGAGCAAATTTCGTACATTATTTAAAGAGGGATGGTGAAGAAACTAGATGGCAAGACCTTTTAAATTTTATCCTATTTGTAGCGAAATATACACAAGGGATTACTAGAGGAAATAATAGTGCCAATGTTGGAAAACCTGGATTGGTAATTGATTGAAATGCAGAAGATTCAGAGTAGAGGCTACTGTTTCAGAGATAGTAGGAACTGCAGATGCTGGAGAATCTGAGATAACAAGGTGTAGAGCTGGATGAACTCAACAGGCCAAGCAGCATCAGAGGAGCAGGAAGGCTGACGTTTCGGGCCTAGACCCGAAGAAGGGTCTACTTGAGAAAGGATGCTTTGGCACTGGAGGGGGTGCAAAGGAGTTTCACTAGGTTGATTCCAGAG